AACAACAAAACATTTTTGGGGAGAGAGGAGAGTCATGTATAAATTCTGTTGAAATGACACAAATTTAGTGGGCTGGATTTTATAGACCCATTGCCTAGCAGGTATTTGGCATGGGAACGAGTAAAATACAAGGGGTGTCCAGCTCGTCAGCATTCTACCCACCCTAATGTTAAATAAATAATGCACACTCAAATGAGCTTATTATTAAGCCAATTAATGGGAATATTATACTGTCCAAGCTATAAATGTTGCAAAGTTGGGAGTGTACTTGTAGAATGAGAGGCAGGAAGTTAGAATTTGGTGCTTTAAAATGCTAGGGCAGGAGGGGTGGGAGAAGCATTGCGGATCCCTTTAAAAGATTATGTGCTTTTTCTGTGCTAGACATTTAAAAATGGGTGTCTGCGAGCAGCAGCTTGAAAGTTTGCCAGTACACAGACAGCACCCACATTGAAACATTTGTATTAAAAGGCCAAGTTATCAGTTAGCAGGCCAAGCAGCAGATTTCACCCAGTCAACAGGCTTTTGAATTTAGCCAATCAATTTGAACCAGCTACTTAGATACGAAAAACCTATTAAATTTAAGTCTGATCATTTGGACAACATAGGACTAATCCCTTTGTAAGGAATATTGAGTGTCATCAAGAGTATAAAAAGGGGGCAGCCTGCCCAGGAGTGTATTATGGCTCTGGGAAGGGCTTCTTTTGGCCACTTTTCTACCTCAGTGATATTTATTTACAATCAAAAAGTGATGTGTTTTTTAATATTTTTCTGTAGAATTTTTGTTAATTTTATTTGAAAAGTTCACAGAATCATGTTTTTTCTCAAAGCCTCTGAAACCATATCCTGTAAATTCCAGCTCCACAATGCTAGTTTCAAAAAAAAAAAAAAAAAAAAAATTGCATTTCTACATGGATGGCTAAAGATTAAGGCACAACTGCAATCCAACATGGCTGACAGTGACTCTGGTTAGAACTCTGCTGTTTTCTGTAGCTATCCTTGGTAACTACTGGGTTTACATGGGGCACTGCTGTTACAAATCTAATAATCACACACGCATACACAAACACACATACCCCCACTCACAAACTTTGTTGACACTTAATTGAATACAGCAACGTACACCAGAAATCTTCACTCAATACGCCTCTGCTGATGCCTGTCCTCACAAAACAACATTCCCCCTCACTGACTGATGAAAGCCACAAGCTCATGAAACTGGCTCACTGCCAGTCCATGATGGCAGGACTGATGTTTGAGGAGAGGTTTGAATTGGTTAGGATATTATGTTCACTGGAGTTCAAAAGAATGAAAAGGGGATCTCTTACAAACCTATAAAATTCTAACAGGACTGGATAGGATAGGTGCAAAAAAAAAAAAAAAAAAAAAAAATTGCCAAATGATGGGGTAGCTCAGAACCAGGGGTCACAGGCAAAGGATTGAGATGAGGAGAAGTTTCTTCATCCAGAGAGTGCTGAACCTGTGGAATTTGGTACCACAGATAGCAGTCGAGGCCAAAACATTGTATGATTTCAAGGAGTTGAATACAGCACTCGGGCTGAAGCGATTAAACAATATGGGGGAAAAGCAGGAACAGGCTATTAACTTGAGTGATTATAAATGGTGACTAGACACGAAGGGTTGAATGGCCTATTCCTGCACAAGCTTCCTGAGCAAAATCCATAATCACGTATCTTTTGGAACAAGCAATCAGAAGCAAGGAAAGTCACTAATAAGTTCCTTGTGACAAACCCAATCTATCAAATTGCAGATTTTGAACTACAATTTAATAATTAACCTTGCTAAACAGGTTCAGGACAGTCAAGGCCTCCATGCAGTCAACTGTCACTGCTCAGTGCAAATCCATTCTTCACTTGTGGGGGGACACAAATAATGCTGCACATCATGGAGGGTTACAGACTACATGGCATACTACGAGAAAACGCCACTGCTTCGCTTCCTTAATTCACATTCATTAAATAAAATTGGTTTTTAAAGCAAGCGTACTCAAAAAGTGAACTTTTTAAAAAGTACCAGAGCTATAGCATCAATGCCTGTCATTCAAGTAGTTTCCCCAAAGTTTGAAAACATCACACAATATTTTAAAGTTTGTTGATTTTCATTAAAAAAAAGTTAGCAAAAAAAAGGTGGTAGTATACAACCTTACTAAGCATACCTTCTGAAATTTCAAATTCATTTCCATCATTAATGGCAACAAATTAATAAGCAACGTATGCTAACTAGCTCAAAATGCAAAACACAGGAGATCCACTCCCTCCCTTATATTTCAAACATAATTATTGGATTTTCAAGAAAATTACCATGGTGTTGCCATGTATCAGTTAGTTACTTACATTCCAATCTACCGTTAAGAAATCTGCATCACTAAGATATTCACTAGCCCGTACAACGTCTTCTATGTCGCTGAAGAAATCAAGGTAATTTTGGTGAAGATAAAGATTGAATAGCTCCTCAGACATATGTGAATTTTCAATCACCTCCTGAAATATGGATCAGATATAAAAATATGCTTAAAAACTGATGTAATGTGACGCTATAAATTTTGTTAATTTTACCAATTTATTCTTTAAGTCTATGCTCTTCCAGGAATTTATTCTGTTAATTGGCAAACAATTCCAAGCCTCCTTTGATAGTATCTTGTCCTAAATGCCCAATACAAAGCTGAAATGGAAGTTTGGGCAATGCTGAAAATTTGAATTGACAAACGTAGAAACAATGCAAAGTATGTGAATATTTGATATGGCCCACCCACTCCCACCTTCAATGTTTCTGCCTAGGATTAATCTTACCTCAGGATGGATCAGAAGTGGATCCCTTTCATGCTCAGATAAATGGATTGGTAATGGATTCAAATTCAAGTCATTAGGCAGCTCTCCTTAAAAATAAAATTGGTCATTAAAAGAAAACTGACCAAGTATAAATAAATACACAAATTTGTGAGATACCCATTTCAAAAGCTGGATTTCTGAACAGAAGTATGGATTAGAATAAATTGCAACAATCTACACAAAGTTAATAAAAACAGAATTTGCTGGAAAAGCTCAGCAGGTCTGGCAGCATCTGTGGAGAGAAATCAGAATTAACATTGCAGGTCAAGTGACTCTTTCGTGGTTCCTCCAGTGACACACACATCCAATGAGCGAATAAAAGAAAAAAAGATCATTTTTACCAGAGAGAATGGCAAACTTTTTCCTTCTTTGAGGTCTGACGGCTTCTGCAAAAAGATTCATAACCACAAGCTGTTCAGCTACCTGGCAACGACATAGTTGTGGGCATGCAGAAGGCCTTTGTTTTCAACAACTGAGCACCACTTCACAAACCATCACCTACTTGTTGTTGGACAAATCTCATTCCTTATGTAACTAACTATCTCCTTATGTAACCGCTGTCTCCAGCCCATCAAACAAACAGCACTTACATCTCACAATGAGTGTTAGCTAACATGTTTTAAAAAGTGCAGTCATACTTTCCACAATCTTTGGTTTTCAAATCAGTCCTTTTCCCATTTCAATCCACAATTAAAAAAAAAATCTAACAGTCTTTATAATGATTCTTCAACTCTAACGTCTTGTGCATTCCCACTTTCTCACGCTACCATTCATATTTTCTTCATCTGGGGCTCATGCACTGGATTTCCATCTTTCAAGACCTCTGGCTTCTATCTGCCCCTGCTTCTTAAATAAAAAAAAAAAAAAAAAAACTTTGTTCAAACTTTCGTGACCCCTCTTGGTATTTGTTTCTTTGGTTCAGTTTCTATTTCTAATTACAATACTGTGAAGTAACCAGTGATCCTGGGTATGGAAGAATTTTCTTGAGGAAAGGTTAAGTAGATTTAGGTCTGTAGACATTGCCATTTATAAGAATGAAAACTGACCTTGTTGAAATATTTAAGGCTCTTAGGGGGCTTTATAGTGTAGATGTGGAGAATTTGCTTCCCCTTATGGGATAGTCTAGGAGTAGAGGGCATAAATTGCAGAGTAAGTGATCATTTATTTAAAACAGAAACGAAGAGTAATTTATTTTCTCTAAGAGTAGTGAATCTGTGAAATTCTTTACAGAGTGCTGTAGTCAGCCATGATATCACTGAATGGCCGAGCAGATTCGATTCGCTGAATAGTCTCCTTCTGTGTCTTACAGCGTTTCTACTAAATTAACACATGCTGTTATTGAAAAGTTATGTGCAATTGATCTCAAACACTACCATCACATGCTAATACATGGAAAAATAAAATAAGTTACTGTATAAACTGAAGCCAAACAGGACTCATTCTACAGGTCAAATCTCAATTTACCAAAGTAAAGGAACTCTAAAATCAAGACTTTCTGATCCAGTTTAGCAACTCAACACAGCAGCTGGTGCTTAAAATTCAATCAGTTTAAGTATTCAAATTTAGACCATATTCTAACCTAAACCAGCAAATCAAAAAAAAAAGCACAGTACTTAAAATGAACATAGAGTTGATTAAAAAAAAGACACTTGCATTTAGATCGTGCTTTTCATGATCAATGTCTCCTAGAACTTTGCAATCAATGAAGTTTGTCATTGTTGTAAGGTAGGAAGCACATAAACTCTCAAACAGTAATACAATATTGACTAGAATATCTGTTTGTGATGTTGATTGAGCAATAACAACTGTCCAAGACACTGGAACAACCCAGCCCGTCAAAATAGTGCCATGAGATCATTTATATGCAGCCGACTGAACAGGGAAGTCTCGGTTTAATGTCTCAAATGAAAGACGGTGTCTTGAGAGTGCAACACTCAATCTGAATTGCACTTGACTGCCAATGTCGATTTTTTGCACTCAGGCCCTGGCATAGTATTTAAACCTGGAGTCTTGTGAATCAGGAGGACAGAGTGTGACCAACTGAGCCAAGACTGGCACAAATTCAAGGATACCAGCAACGTATTTTATACAGTTGCAACAGACATACAGGTAGTTCTGCTATAACACGTTTCATTAACGGGAATTGGCTGTAACATGATTGATGAATAGCGGACGCTGTTTGGATAATGCGAACTTTCTGCTGTACAGATATAGCAATTTCCTTTGGCGTGATTTTCTATAGCACAAGGTCAGGCACGAATGCAACTATCGCGTTACAGGAGAACTACCTGTATGTCAGGAAGCAATATTTAAGAATGGCTAAAAATGTATTTCTTCCATCAGTAGTCACAAAAGAAAAATGTGGCCAATTCCAGGTTCTGTCATTTTTCTGAATCTATAAAATAAATAGGGGAAGGAAGATCTGCATTGTATATAATGTAACTTGTCATTTCAAACTTTTTCACTACTGTTTAGTTACTTCAGAAGTACAGCCACTGCTCTATTTTGTAGCCAATGAAATAACGCAAAGCAAAATTACATGACCTGTTTAACTTTGTTTTGATGTTCCTGGCTGAAGTCAGGAAAGCATTTTTTATTAAGGAAGTTAAGTTTATTAAGGCATACTTGATATAGAAAAAAAGTTCAGTTTTTGTCATCTATGATGAGGATTTTCTAAGATAAAAGGAGACATTGTGATGAATCCCATTAACGTAGTCAGGACTTCCTTCTGATGAACGCAGGATAAAATCAATGATGTTATAAAAAATTGACTTGTCAAGGAAAACTGCACAAGAACATTTCAGGTGATGCCATTAAAACATTCCTTCTCCCAAAAAAAGAGGCATTTAATCTCATTTAAAATAGATTTAAGAAGTAGATCATGCGTAAATAAATAGATCATGTGTTAAGAATAATTGGTAATATGGGGACAGGACCAATATCCATTACAAACTGACTGACTCACAGTTACCTTGACTAAGTATCATCATGACTTTCTTTCTGTAAAGGTTCCATTCCATTCTACCAGTTTCTCTGTCTTATCTGCTCCGATAATGCCACCTGCCACAGGGGTGCTTCTGACATCTCTTAACCAAGGACCGCAACCACTGTGACTGACAGGGTCCTCAGCCTTGTCTGACCCATTTCCCACATATGTCCTCACCCATGTCTGACATTTCCATCACTTCTGTCTCATCCCTTACCATTGCTCTCAGGACAACAACAGGCATCCTCTTGTTCTCACTTTCCATCACACCAGCCTCTGCATTCAAAGATCATCTTCCACTATTTCTGCAACCTCTCACCGTCCTCTCCTTTGTCAGCATTCTGCAGTGTCCATTCTGTCCATAACATCCTGGTGCACTCCTCCACACTCGTAACACTACCTCATTCTTCCCCCCATGGCACCTCCGATGCAACTGCAGAAGTTGTAATACTTGTCCTCCTACCTCCTACTACCTCACATCATACTTCGTAGCATTACAAGTGTAAAATATTCTTTAGTTGATCCTATTCAAGAAGAAACCAGTTAGTCATACTTCACTTCAGGATATGCCTACTCAGATCAATTAATGTTGAGGCCTTAAAATAATGTAAACCTATTTAATTTGGGCAATTAAATATTGTGTAAAATAGGATATCTGCCCTGCTCATATACAAATGCAGTGAATCCTGTACAAATTGACAAATTCAAACAGATTTGGAAGAAGCTGTCAAAAAACTTGTTCAACTTACGTTTACAATAAATTATTTTTCCCAGAGCTCGAAACAGGAAGAGAGATTGGTCCTTGCTTCCAATGGTGTGCAGGCCACCTCCCTTTTCATTTGCCTTTGAAGATTTTTCTTTATGTTTTCCTCTTGAAGACATGCCTGCTTTTATTAAAGTTTTTCCTTTATAGTTCTGTGCTGAATTCAGTTCCAATGGGCAGCCTGAGTTGTCAGAAGATTACCATGTTTATGTGCAGGCAGATATACATGCAGATGAAGTACTGCAATTATGAAATACGTCGCAGTAGAAATCTGAAGAAACCACTGTGTAGAAGCTAATTGGTTAAATTAGGGAATATCATTTTAAAATTGATTACCTTTAGCATATTCTACATTTTAGGATTACGGCACACAAGAACAATTTAAAGTAGCACCAGTTTCAGTGAGCTCATCACTGGAATGACTCATTACAAAGATACAACAACTGACACTACTACATCATTGTTCATTGAGGTCTTGCACAGAAATTTAATTTGTTCTTCCTTCCTGTTAAAGTAGGGGTTCATACTGGAATATGGTTTCACAAGCACCAAAAGCCCATGGTGCCCTGAAAAAGTCACTAATCTTCAAAGTTTAACTTACGCAATTCACAGTGGCAGGCTATTTTTATTGTGGAAGCAACTGCAGCTCATTGTGATTCTGTTTCCATACAATTCCCAGATTCCTTTGTTGCAAGTATCACTGTTAACTAATCAGAAGCAGAGCTGATTTCTTCTTATGCTTCCAAGTTCAACTAAGACTAAACAAATTTACCTGCTATTTATATCCCTTGCTAGCAGAGAACAACTAACTAGAACGTTGAACGTCCCTACAAAGTATGGAAGTTTGCCCAACCAATCTGTTTAAATATAGTATATGTCTGTGCACATGTGTAGTTTTAAGTCTTTCCTTCATAAATTCCCATTTAAGATGCCCATATTAAAAAAAGGTCATACTTTAATTGCAACTCTTGCTTATAGTGGTGTGGTGCCTCATTTTTGCATCTTCTAGATCTTCCACCTCTCCTGTACCTCTGCTCCAAAAATTCTACTTCTCTTGTCATACAAGATTTCATAATGTTTATAGCTAAATAGCAAAACTTGAGGCACATTGCAAAATAAAGAATGCACAACTTTAAAGTGAGGATCGAACAAGCTCGTGATCTGCAGCTTGGTTACATTCCTCTCTAACTCTGCATCAGCTGAAGGATACATTTGGTAGTAATTCCCATGGGAAAACTCAAAAATTATATATTTTGTTTACATTCTCCAGTTAAAACTTTTAGGTTCACTCTCATGTACTTAGCGCTTATGATTCCATACCATTGGCTTTGAAGGTGGGAAGGGAGAACTATAAAATCAGTTGACCTGTCCACCACCCAATTCTCCCTCCCCATTCCCACTGCATCGTTACTCGTGATGGGGTGGCACAAGTGGCCGACACACTGCAGATCAAATTGATGTCTTTTGGTGGGCAATTAATCATCACAAGGGGCCCCATCCTGTGCTTACCTAGTGGCAGGGGTGGGGGAATAGTTTCCTAATAGAGCTAAAAAGGACCTTTGGAGGGCACTCCACCCTGTCAAGGCACGTGTCCCCTAGATTCCCCCCCATTCATGACCTCTCAAAACGTTGTCCCCTGCCACCCTAACACCAGGAGAAACATTTACCCACTTGCAGAATTCGATCCAGCACAACTCAAGTGCCGAGTGCAGACCAGCATTTGTCACCACTCTCATTGGTGTTGCCAGTGCTGAAGATTGCTGGCCTGAGACTGGCCAGCAGCTGAGTCAGGACTTCCTGTCTGAAGGGAGGAAGTCCTGCCTCAAGTTTATTAATGACAAATGGATCATTAAATGGCCACATGGCAGCTGTTTCCTTCCTTGGCAGAGCTCCTCAGCCTAACCTTTTAGCAAGAGGATGAGGACTATGGTGCTCTGAGATTCCAGCCCTTAAATGCTACAACATGCTAGGTTTTAAAATACACATCTTTCAAGTTTTCAGTTATTTAATTTTGAACTATTAGTTTACTAACTTAAAATAATCACTAATTCTGTATTGTTAAAACTATTTACTAAGTTGACTTATTTTCAATTTACCATTGTAAATAATTACCTTTCACTGAAGTAAACTGAAGGTTGTTTATTGCACTTCTGATATCTCCTGCGCTGCCTCTGCAGAGCAACTCTAGTACAGTTTTGTCAGGAACAGTAGTCTTCCCATCATTCTGCATTGCAGGATATTAAGAAAATTATTTTACCTGTGATTTTTATTTGGATAAAAACATCAAATTCACTACCCAACTGATTGCTATTATTGACAGTAAGCAAGACAATCTGAACATAACAAGAGTTACAAATCAACAATTAATTGAGCACAAGATATCCATTTTTAAAAACAATTAACTTAGCAAATACAAGTGTGGTTATAAAGGCAAAGTTGAAAAGGGTATGGAAAACATAATTCTAACAACATATTTACAAAAAGGTATTCAAGAAGAATATTCAAGTACAGTTTGTATCTCGATTATCCGATACTCTCTGGTCCAGTAAATTATGGGCCAGCACGCACAATACTTCAGTTTTAAGTCAGCACCTATCTCATTCCCTCCATTACAATTTTAAGATTCATTCTAAGAAGTCAAGTTTCGACTTACAGAATGAGTTGACTATTTACTGCTGGTTAGATTTCTTCTTCTCTGTAACTCTCAGAACTCCACCAGGAGGTGCTGGTGATCTGAAGTGCAAACTCAAATTTGTCATTCAGCTCCAACCTCATCTTCCTCAAGACAAGTGACAGCTAAGGCCAAGATGGCCAGAAAGAACAGCCACACAAGCCACAAACTGAGTTTTGGTCTCAGTGTGTGAGGTGTGGCACAGGCCAAGAGCCTGGACTGTACTGGACATATAGACTCTCGTGGTCTGGAAAATTCTCTGTTCTGCAAAAGCCCAGTCCTGATACTGTTGGACATGAAGTTACAACCTGTAATTACTGAAGGAGCTCTGATTTGAGATGCAGAGGTATTTTAACTAGCCTAGTATAGAAGTAAACATCTATAATCTTTTTTCTCAAAGATCATCTCCTTTAAATTTGGAATCAGCTCTGTTGTTCTTCTCTGTATATACCCAAGACATAGTGCCCAGAATCAAATTTAGTACTCTCAAGTGAGATCTGATTACATCACTATAAATTCAGCAAATTAGCAGCGAGCTACTGACACTTAAAATAAGTTCCAAAACAAACCCTTTCAAAGAAGTCAGGGTGAGTACTGAAAAAGTTAACACTGTTAAAACTTACCTTACTAGCCTCTTGAGAAGCTATTCTATTTAAAACTCTCAACATGCTTGTGTGAGCCACAGGATTAAAACTGCCAAAAAAACAGGGGAACATATTCAATATAATGGATCATGGCAGAAATGGAAAAATCTTGATTTAGAATTCATCAGGAATGCAATAATTAACATGTGATGAGCCCTCACAGTAGTTTTTTATTAGGTGTGATTTGAACCACACAGACCAGCACATTCGAGGTTCAATCTTTGGTAAAACCAAAATAATCTCATTTTAGCCAGGAATGAATGAGATGATAGAATTGAACTCAGCAAATCTCAAACTAGGCAGAAGGATAACAAAAAAAAAGTCCATAATTTGTTATTTGTGATGTCTAGCCCTGCTTAAAAAATGCATATACTGGATGGGGACAGGATCAGACTTGCAGGGAGAGCTAGTTCTGGTTGCTTGGGTAAATAGAAGTTATGGCAGTAAATAAACTGTGGGAAACAATTAAAGAAATTATTCACAATTTTCAACAGAACTATGCTCTTTTAAGGCAAAAATTAGTGACAAAGATTCACTAATGGCTTGTGAAGAACAAGTACTGGATATTAATTTCTTATGGGGTATGAAAGAGTCAATGCAGGTAAGATGTTTCCTCTGGCTGGTGAGTTAAGAACCAAAGCACACAGTCTCAGGATAAGGGATAAGTCACTTAAGAATGAGACAAAGGAATTTCTTCACTCAGAGGGTGATGAATCTTTGGAATTTTCTAACCTGGAAAGCTGTAGAAACTCAATTATTAAGCATGTTCAAGACAGAAATCAATAGATTTCTGAATACTAATGACATCAGGAATATGGGAATAGTGCAGAAATGGCTTGGAGGTAGATGATCAGTAATGATCTGATTGAATGGGTTAGCAGGCTCAATAAGTGAGTGCCATACTCTTGCATCTATGCTCCTATTAAAGGAAGACTCTTATAAAGTTGTGAAGAACAAAGTCAGCCTGAGGATTGGGGAAGTTTTAGAAATCAGTGAAAAGGGACCAAAAAGTTAATCTATTTTTGCCTTTTTTAAATTGCGAGAATCAAGTAAGCTAGCCAGGAACAGAAACAGATTATATTCTTTGTAAAAGCTTGTACAAACAAAGTACAGTAGCTAGTGTAAATGTTAGTGCTTTAGAGATAGAGACAGAATAAGCTGTGAGAAGTGAGGAAATGTCAGAGACACTGAAAACTACAGTTCCTCTGTCTTCACAGTAGAAGTCACAAGGGGTCAATGAAGAGCAAGTAACTTAAAGCAATCAATACCAGCAGAGATAAATACTGGAGAAACTGAAGGGCTAAAAGCCTACAAATCACCAGAACATGATGGCCCGTATTTAGGATTTTAAAAGAGGTAGTTGTAGAGATGAAGAATGTACTGGTTATAAATTTTACAGAATTTCCTAGATCCTGGAATGGTACCTCAGATTGTAAGATCGCAAATGTAACATGGCTATTGAAGGAAGGAAGACAAAAAAGAAAACAGGTTACTACAGGTCAATTAATATGATACTAGTTAATTAGGAAAATGCTGGAATTTATTAAAGAAGTCTTAACAAAGCTCTTAGAAAAATGAAGTTGTAGTACAATCAAAGCAAGTATGATTTAGAAAAAAAGTCATGCTTAACAAATTCGTTTTTTTTGGACATGATTCCAATAGGTAGACAAAGAGGAGCTAAATATGTAGTGTACATAAATTTCCAAAAGGCATTTGAATAAGAAGGTACTAAAAAGGTTAATATGCAAAGGTAGGTGCTTGTGAAGTTGGGGTAATACATTGGCATGGATGAAGAATGGTTAATGAGCCAGAAGCAGAGAGTTGGAACAGGGTATTTTCAAGTTAGCAGGCTGTTAATTAGTGAGGTGCTGGAAAGATCAGCACTGGGTCCTTAACTACTTGTATTTACAAATAAGTAAGTGAACAATGGAAAGCACTAAAAATGATTTAATATTTCAACAAAGATATTTTCATTTAAAAAATGAAACCTCATAAGGGAAAATGGCTAATTAAGGAACTTAAGGATAGTCTTAGATTAACTTTTTAAAAACTCTTTAAATTTAGTTTAAACACTTGGCTAGTGTTTTCTTGTATAATATTTTACCCCTTTTTATCAAATTTTTGGTTGCTTTCTGGTGATCTCTAATCTCTCTTGATTCTCAGGCCTATTACAATTCTTTGTAATATTATAAGTCTCTGCCTTTGAATAAATATTATCCTGAATAATTTTCAGGGGAGGAATGTGCAGCAAGTCAGCACTATGAAGCAGACAGGGAGAGGGACCTGTGCGACAAGGACAGCAGGAGATTAAAAACTGGCAGCAGCGAGCCCCTTCAGCTCATTTCTACTTGTCAGTACTGAAGTGTAACACCACAGGAAAACAGGTATGGGATTGGTAGGTATTCCTTCAGTGTCTGTTTTGAATGGTGAAGTGGCTTAAAAATCAGGAAACTATTATAGTTGCAGAGTACAGTTTAGAAATTCATCTTGAAAATATTTGACATCCAATTTAATTAATTAAAATCAAGAGACAAATGACTGGACAGCCAATGTTTTGCAGTTGTAGTACGTAGGAGCTGATGATTGCTTGGGTGCACTGGCATCCATATCAGTGGCAAGTGTTGGCTCAAGACACTTGAGATTTAGATAAAGTAAGTGAATTGGCAAAAACATGGCAGATGGAATGTAATGTGGACAAGCAAGAAGTTATTAACTTTGGTAGTAAGATTGCATATACTTATACAAAGAAAACAGAAAGTTAGCTTGCAGGTACAGAGAGCAATCAGGAAGACAAAATTAGGTGCTGGCCTTAATTACAAGAGGATTGGAATACAGGAATAAAAAAAAAAAAGTCTCACTGCAATTGTATTTGACTTGATTAAATCATTCCTGGAGTACTGTTTGCAATTTTAGCTAGCATATCCCAGGAAAGATTTACTTACAATGGAGGCAGGTTATTACATTGGGTTACTACACTGGTTCCAATAAGACGGTCCTATCATATTATTAGATCTATATTCTCTGGAGTTTAGAGGAATGAGTGGGAATCACATCGAAATACAAAGAAAGACAACAAGATCATTCTGTCTGACTTGGGGAAACTAGAACACAGGGGCCCTGACTCAGTAAAAGGGTTAATCATTTCAGATACCACAGAAGAAATTACTTTTATTCAAAGAATTGCAAATTGTTGGAATTCTCTAGCCAGAAAGTATTATGGATGTTTACTCAAGGCTGAAATTTGTAGATTTTCAGTCTCTCAGTAAATTAAGGGATAAAGGAAAAGGGTGGAAAGTGGAGTAGAGACACATGATCAGTCATGACCATACTGAATGGCAGAGCAGGCCCAGAGGGCTGTGTGATCTATTCTTGCCTCTATCTCTCAATATGTTTTGCTTGGTAGTAATGCTTTTCATATTGATTAACACCCACAGTCAAGGCCACACATGAAGAATTGATATGTGGGAAAACTGCTGGCAAAAATGAGACACTATCTAAACAGTTGTGATCAGGACAGAAAAAATTGTTGCCATAAAAGGTAAAGTCTCCATAGTTTTAGCAGACCACAGGGCTGCTTTTTTGTTAGTTAGAGAGAACTGATGATGGTTTAACTGGAGGTCAACATGCATCAGGTGCGGGAAGAGATTGAGAAGCAAAGTCCTTCATGGTAATCTCAACTGGTGCAGAAATTGAACACACACTGTTAGCTTAACTCTACATTACAAACCAGCCATTCAGCCAACTGAGCTAATCGACTCCTGATACCTATAATAACAACTCTGCAGTTTTTATTACCTTTAATTTGCTACTACTTGTGAACATTCTAACATGCACTGCAGCAATTTACCACGGCTCCTCCAACGCCTAGAAGGACAAGGATAGCAGATGCACGGGAGCAACAACACCTTGCAAGCCATGTACTATCCTGGCTTGGAATAGTATTAGCGTTCCTTCACTGTCACTGGGTCATAATCCCGGAACTCCTTTGCAAACAGAATTGCTATTGCCAATGAATGTAGCAGCTTAAGGAAGTAGCTGATCACCACATTTCACAATGTTAATTAGGGACGAGAAATGAATGCTAGCCTAGCCAGTGATGCCCATAACACATGATAGAATAAAAGAAAAAAACAAATTTAAAACTTACTCATTTTTCCAATAAACAAGTTGCAATTTATAACATTTTTAAAAATCCAGGAAATAATTCAACTCCAGATCATACTGCTTTATTATGTAAACTAAATAAAAGGATCAGGAGAACCTATTTAAAAAGACATACTCCATCACCTAAACATAGATTTGTCATTAACAGTACAGTTAGTACTTGCCTTATGTTCGCAATGCCCAATTCCTCTTGAATATCTTTAGGGAAGAGTAACCGATGACCACTGTCTTGACTAACACTATCAGAAATTATAAACACCAGTGGACACCTTGCTACTTGCACAAACCTCCTATTAAAAGAACAGAGCATTTAATATTTCTTTCTGTGCTCAGATTTCATGTTCTAACAACAGATTTTAAATACTCTTCTTCCAATGGAGTATACGTATTTACCAAAGATTCTTATAATACGGGTTTGTTGAGTATGCTAGCACAATGTTTTAAGTCATCTTATTCTGCACTGTACTACTTTAAGCTTCTGTAGTCATTTTATATACTTTATACAAAGAACAATTGAAAAACTTTTAAGAACATTGCCATTGACTTAAAATAAAATCATAGATTCACAGAATCTCTACAGTGTGGAAGCAGGCCATTTGGCCCATTGTGTCCACACTGACCTTCCGAACAGCATCCTACCCAGACTCTCACACCCCGCCAAACCTAACCCTGTAACCTTGCATTTCTCATGGCTAATCCACTAACCTGCACAACCCTGGACACTATGGGCAATTTAGCATGGCCAATCAACCTAACTTGCAACAAAAACAGAAGTTGCTGGAAAAGCTCAGCAGCATCTGTGAAGGAGAAAACAGAGTTAACATTTTGGATCTGGTGACCCTTCCTCAGAACTGATGGTAGCTAGAAAAATGTTGGTTTATATGCAGAAGATGGGGGGGGTGGGGAAAGAGGTAAGGAGTAAACAATAGGTAGGGATAGAGCCCAAACAGAGGAAAATTGTTGGACAAAGGAGTTGATAACTATCTGGCTGGGAGGGTGAATAGCTGTTAATGGAGACTACTAGTGACTAACAATAGCTAGTGTGCAATGACAGACTATGGTAATACAAGGCCTGGTGTATGGGGGAGGGGGCCAGGACAAAGGGGAGTTCAGGCCCTAAAAATTATGTAACTCAATATTTGTGTCCAGAGGGCTGCAGAGTCCCCAAGTGGAAAATGAGGTGTTGTTCTTCCAGCTTGTCCTGAAGCACTGCAACAAGCCTGAGACAAAGATGTTGGCCAGGGAGCAGGATGGTGTATTAAAGTGGCAGGCAACTGGAAGCTGAGGGCCTTTTTGGCAAGCAGAACGTTAACGTTGATGTGGATTTCTCTTCATAGATGCTGTCAGAACTACTGGGCTTTTCCAGCTACTTCTGTTTTGGTTTCTTTCTTTTTTTTTTTTTAAAATCCAACCTAACCTGCACATTTTTGGACTGTGGAAGCTGGAGCACCTGGAGGAAACCTACACAGACACTGGCAGAACATACAAACTCCATACAGACAATCGCCAGAGGGTGGAATCGAACCCAGGTCCCTGGGACAGTGAGGCAGCAGTGCTAACCACTGCCCCTATAAACAAGACTTGTAAATGAAGATTGTGAAATATGCTGAACCAAAACCATTAATGAATCAGATGTAAATTAGTGTCAGCTCTGAAGAGTCATCTAGACTTTGAAATGTTATTTTGCTCTCTCTGTGGATGCTGTCTGACCCACTGTGATCTCCAGCATTTGTGGTTTTCAGACAGATTCCAGCATCCAACAATAGTTTAATAGGTAGACTTTTCCAGTCAGTTGTGTACCTTTGGATTATGTGTAATCTTATTGGTTCAGTGAAAACGACTTTAAGTATGGAGCGAGAGAACAATCACAGGCATGTATCCAACTACAAGTCAAAAGTGATTACAACTCATTCAGCTAAGTTGCAGAATGAGTTATTTGAGGTATAATCACTTCGGGACTTGTGAATTTTATCTTGAATGTATGCCATGCTGATCTATGAATGTGCATAAGATGAAATACAGGAATGTAAGTTTGTTTATAGGCTTAGTGTAGGCAAGTAGTAAACTTAAAGCAAAGTGTTATCAATAATCTGAACTATCAAATCAATAAATTTTACTTAATGCCAATCTATTGCATCTGTTCACAGAACTTCTAAATAATGTATTGTGGTGTAATATATGTGATTTATGTATTTCATCATCTATATCAGAGTCTGGATTTTGAAACAGGGGTAATGCGGGTTTTAGTCTGTGTAAGAAGGCTTAAATAATTAATACGTCAGCATTTCTCAAGCCATGATTTTAAACCTGTACCCAACAGAAATTGGGGCCCTCCTGGAGTGAAATTGGAATTTCTTTATATTCTGAGAATATCATGATCAGACAGCAAAAACGTGGACAGTTATTGGCTTGCTTTTGGTTTACAAGAATCAAGAATTGATTTCTGCTTCAGGATAGCTTCAAGTATGGAAATCCTTTAGGTGCAGGTCACAGAAAACTGGCTGGGGTCAGATATAACAATAGTTCTTCCTTGAGGAAGGAACTAGTTCAAAATATTTAAGAGAAATGTTACCGCAGTCTGGGATCAGATTTGTCCAGCAGTAACACCAGCTGGGATCATAATAGTATTTGTCATACTATCCAGTACAACTTCTGGCAGGCATGATGCAATGTGGTCCAATGGGAGGGATATTCTTGAATACCACAAAGGACAACATTGTGACCTGATGCAGCAGGTGTACCGCTTCATCAGTTGTGGAATGTTTGTAGGGTGGGGCACTGCTTTGTCCCTTACCCAGCAGTTTTTTTTTTTAAAAAACACCTTTGATGGAGGGTCTCCTTCATTTATGTGCAGCATGCATCTTCACTGATTGTTCTCCACCTTTACAACCATATAGTTTTTTTTTAAAACCCTATTATGGCCATTTACATTCAAAACAGTTTTATCTGTTTTAATTCAGCCAGAATATGAACTTACCATGCAAAATGCACCTATCCCCATTTTAGACTAATTCCTTGAGCAAGGAAAAAGTCATGCAAGCATATGAAGAGGGGTCACTGGACTAGAAACATTAATGCTGCTTTCTCTCCACAGACGTTTCCAGACTTGCTGGAGAAACTCAGCAGTTTCGGTTTTTGTTTCATGCAGACTCATGACCAATTATGCAAATTAGTCATCCCCATTCACAGCATAGCACAACAAAGCCACCAAAACTGCAGTCAACACAACTCTATATGCTGTAACTCTCTCTCAACCTTCCACTCTCATAGCACCCTCATGCTATTAATAAACACATTGAACTCAATCCCCTATACATTCCACTACGAAGGAAAACCAGAAGTGAGGCAATCCGTCTCAATGGACCCCAGAGTTTAAAACCCAGGTGGGAAAACACACCGATGCTTCATTGGAGGCTGCACTGAGGATGTTACTAAGCATGGTAACGAAACGTCTGCGAAACAACAAACCAGCTCGGTGAGCTAACCAACCTCAACAGAGTGGAAGAGAGTCATCCTCGTTTGGAAGGGATCAATGAATGAATGGTGAATGAATATGCTGTAAACCATCATCTCGACTTTTGGGAAGAGAATTCTACTCGGTCAGTTCCAGGTATTGTCATTATTCAATTTGTCAAACCCACCCCCATCACCCGAGTTTCATCCACAGAAGGGACCAGACTATTGCCTGTTTGGGAAAGTTAGTTTGTATCTGCAAAAGATCTTTAAAAAGTTAAAATGAAATGTTGACACTACCAGACAGAATCTCAAAGAAAAGGACACGGAGCTTTTAATGTCGGGAGAAATTGGCTGGATATTTCAACCAAGTGAACAGCTGGATGGAAATGACCATCGAGAGCTAGATCCTGGGGAAAATGAATGATAATTCTATTGAAAGACATGATTTGTGTAAAGGCCTAAAGAAAACTATTGAACAAAGACCTGAATTAGAAAAGCAACCGTCACAAAGCTGCTTGCAGACAGAAATGACACCAGTGAAGACTTTTGTGCTTAATAGTACACTAGCAGCATTTTTAAAAAAATTGATACTAGCTTTGGTTTATTTGAGTGATTTTAGACAATTAGAACCCAAGAGTAATTGACTTGACATTATACAAAGTCTTAAAAAGCTTCAAAGTAGCTTTTAAAAGAAATCTATAAATTAACATGCATAAAAGAATCTCTCTATTGATATTCAGTTTGGAAGAAATGTTTGACTTTTTGGAATTAGTACTCCTGGCAAAGTGGTAGTTAAGAAAGAAAATTATTCTTGTGTTCATAATTTCTACATATTAAGTGTTGGCTCAATGGCAGTTCTATACCTACTGCTTTAGTAATTCTAAAAACAGTTTATCAGAAAACTGCAAATGTTTGTAGTACAAACAGTAGTTCTTTTCACTGATATATATATATATATATATACTTCTGAAAACTTACCTCAAAATATCATGCATACATGAAGGTTCTCTATAAAACTGATTCGGAATATCCTGTGAATCAAGAAATGAGAGAGTTATCAATAGCTGTACACACTCAGTTTCTCTCAAGTGAACAGGGAGGTCTGATATTTTGGAAAGTACAAATATATTCAATGATTGTGAATGATCAATATTTTGATATTCTAGAATACAAAGTGTTTGCTGTATCTATTGTAGAATTTCTATTTTCCAATGAGCACAGAACATACTTTTCAACTTAAAAAAAATCTTGCATAATTCAAAAGTCAATATTTGAAAAGCATGAATGAGTGGAATGATCAAAAAATTTAAGATGCACTACTTCCAGAAGTTTTGACGATTACCTTACCATAATAGTCAAAGCATTAACACCCCTTCATTAAACAGGTTAATTATGGAAAGATTCTTCACAATGAACAAGGAATTCAAGAAGATTGTACTCACTTCCACAAGAATCAGTTTTTTGTCTGTCTCCAGTCTATCGCCCAGCATCTGAAGCTTTTTGTATTTGTTGGCTCGCAATAAAAATTCTTCAAATAGAACAGACTGTGACTTGCTGATATTTATCCGAAAACCTGGTTCTGAGGATAGTCAAAGATCATGTTTTTTAAAAATTAAATAGACTGGAGAAACCTGTTCCTATTCGATTCAGGAAATAAAATTGGTATATAGACATAAAAAGGATGTGTTGTTATATGGAGAGTTGCACGAGAGATTTTTACTATAGCTGAATGATTGGACAGCAAAACATGAATGGCAACACCAAGTCTCTAAATTATCAATAACTTAATGGCATGATCAATTGAAGGGCTCCTTTTCAGCTTTGAGGCCACAGGCTAGCAAGTCTTCAAGAGGAAGCCAAAATAAGAAAAAAAAAGTGAGCAGCAGAAATACTGCGCTTTAAAAAATATTTCAAGTCTCCCATCCCATCACCCACTGTTTGTTGACTTCCATCAAAATTGAAAACACTACTTATCACCATTGCTCTTGTTTGCATAAGTGAAAAAGAATAAAAACTGCTCCGTTCAAGACAGAAGCAAATTATTTAGGATTCTGTTTAAATGCTGCAATTAGGACCAAAGTCAGTTGTAAATTATGATAATTATTTATTCTCATCCTGCTTTTTAGGGAGCACGCCTCACAACCTTACTCAGAAAAGTGGTGACCAAGTAACATTTCTTTGTTCAAGTACATCACATACTCGTGATCTCTGGATAGGTCAAAAGATCCCATCAATTGCCTAATCAGAACTGTTGGAAAACAAATAACTTTTTCCAAATAATAATTGGATAAAATTACACTTTAGAAAACCAATGTTAATTTGAAACAGTTGACAGTTTCTTAGTGCATTTTAGCACTTCCGGTTGTCAGAATCTTCTATTTTAACATCTGTTTCCATAAAGTGCCACGAACACAGGAAAACAGTATGTAGGATCAAATTAGCTAATCTAAAAATCAGCAGTGACATGTTGCAATAGACAACACACTGCCATTTCGTATATAAAACAATGAATCCATACCCTACACAGATGCCATTTGCCATGTAACTAATCACAACACTTTTAGAAGGTTTGTTCGTTCAAAAATAAAATTTTCTCATAGAAGAATTGTGTTATATAGTTCAAACAAAAACAAGTTTTAATTCTTTGTCTGAACTTAGATGACTGAAAGCATGTGCACTGGTGCAAAAACTGGATCATTCAAAACAATGCACCTGAACACCGAGTTGGCCAAAATCTGCTCTTACCAGTATTAAAGCAGCCTTTAAATTCATCATGGCTTTTAAATTGGTTTTCTGATAAAGGATTTGTCCATTCCAGCAGGTGGATTCCCAGCTCCTTTACAAGAACTTGTATTGTAGCAGTCTTGCCAGTGCCAGCAGCACCCGTTAGTAATAAGATGGAAACACCCTTTAATAGGAAAATATATGCAGACTTGAGTAACAATCATATGTCAGAGAAATTTTCGATACGTTACAGCTATTAAATTTGATACTCCAAATAAGGAAGCAAGCAAACAACATACTGCATTGTAATAAGGATTGGCTGAGACTTCTTTAACAAATATTAAAGTATTTGTGATTAGTCCACAGCTCCCCAAGGGCTCAACTGGCTTGGAAGCGAGTTCATCCACCACAAAGACCAGCAGGTCCCAGGATGGTGCGGTTGTGTAGACCTGGCAGGTTTCAGCCGGATGGTGATAAAGACACTAATTGGCTTCCTTTGAAACTAACATCAGAAATTATTAAAAGTCATTAAAACCGATTAAAGAAAAAATATATCACTTACCACTTTTGTAAGCACTGCTTTGAGGAAGCAAATGTTGAAAACATCATGGGAATTGGCTTGCAATGGATTGGACAAGTAAAGTTACAGAAATGTAAAGCCAATTGCATGATTGATATATAGTCTATGACTTGTTTTGGATTTTGGGATTTTGAAATAATGGCATATGGATTTTCTGTGCCTGAACGGGGTTAAGTGACGAACTTGCAAGTACTTTTGCAGCCATAATTCCTCTTTTAAAAAAACGAGATTGCTCTGGAGGCTAATGCAAACAAATTTCCATTCGGAAGGAGCACAGTAAACAGTGGTAAATTAGGCTTTTAGCTTAGAAGGTCAGGAGTTTTTTTTCCTTTTGAATGAAGGGACACACACATAGCTTGTAAAAAATACCTTTTGGTTTCAGTTTGGCAGTTTTACAGAAGTCTTGGCTGAACTAAATGTGTAGAAACAGTTGCTCTTGAGAAAGGGAGATATTCAAGACTTAAAAAATGAGATTACCTCAGTCTGAAGGAGTTTAGTTTAAATGGCTCCAATCCAGAAATGTTTGGTTAAAACTCCAAAGGGGTTATGTGAAGCTGAGAAAGTCTAATCCTAGATATATGATGGATCAGAGGCCATCAGATTCTCATGATTGATAATTTAAGTCACAGCCAAGTAAAACCCTACACAGGAAAGAGAAATAAATAGTCTCTGGCATTTGAATACTGTAATGGGATGCTGTTGGGATTAATGAGATTATCTTTTTACCATGTGCTTCAAAATACTTAAGCGTGTGTTACATGTGAATAGTTCCATCTATTCTATTTTATCTTCATTTCTTTTGAGCAACAAATTTCTGTTTTATTGTTAAAACCACATCTGCTACGTGGTAGACGTGTGCGTCAATTAGAAACCATCTTGTTAAAACCAAAAATGATCTATCATGCCAAATTTCAGTCTAGTATCTTACTTGCCTTGTAATAACATCAGCTGAGATCATAACAACAGTCAGAAGTACAACTGTAGAAGGGAAAATGTCCTATTACTTTCATTCACTGCACACAGAATTACAATACCCATGTGAATTTCAGTCATCAACAGTAAAAGGAGTTTCAGGAACAGAGACACCTCAGGATGTATCTTCACAAATTGATGAAGGTGACAGAGCAGGTTGAGAAAGCAGCTCAATTATGTTTCATACAGAGTGCAAAAAGTTCAACTTAAGGTGCAGAAAACTTTTACGAGGATGTTGCCAGGACTGGAGGGTTCGAGTTACAGGGAGAGGCTGAATAGGCTGGGGCTTTTTTCTCTGGAGCGTGGAGGCTGAGGGGTGACCTGGAAGAGGTTTATAAAATCATGAGGGGCATGGCTAGGGTGAATAGCCAAGGTCTTTTCCCTTGGGTGGAGGAGTCCATAGCTAAGGCAAGCAGGTTTGAGGTGAGAGGGGTAAGATTAAAAAGGGACCCCCAGGGCAACTTTTTCATGCAGAAAGTGGTGCATGTATGGAACGAGCTACCAGAGGAAGTGGTGGAGGCAGGTAACAATTACAACATTTAAGAGGCATCTGGATGGGTTTTTGAATAGGAAGGGGTTACAGGGATATGGGCCAAATGCTGGCAAATAGGACTAGTTTAGAATATCTGATTGGCTTGGACAAGTTGGACTTAAGGGTCTGTTTCCGTTCTGTGCAACTCAATCTACATAAGACACCGATTCAATTTCAACTTGCAAGCATGTTCAATTCTGGACACTTTAGGAAGGATGTGAAGACTTTAGAGAGAGTGAGTGCAGACAAGATTTTTTAAGAGTGATTCCAGGGATCAAAGCCATCAGTTATGCTGATGGATTGGGAAGTTGTGGCAGTTCCCTTTGGAAAAGACTCAGAGGGGGTTTGATAAGGGTGCTCAAATCACAAGTTATCTATGAAGACAGGATAGAAAAATTAATCCCATTGACAGAAAGATCAAGAACCAGGTGACGCCGATACAAGGTCATGGACAAAAGAAGCAACATCAACATGGGGTTTTTCTCTGCAGCAAATCGTTAGGACCTGATATGCATTGGCTGTAATAGCAGCAGATTAAATTACGGTTTTCAAAAGGGAATTGAGTAAGCAACTGAAGAAGCAGAGAAAACAAGAGTTATAAAGAAAGTTTGGTTTGTGGATCTAACCCATACCCATTTGAACTAAAATGGGAAAATCCTTTAATTTGCAAGGGGCTGCATTTTCTACTACTCTTGAGCCTATCCTTTTTTCCAAAATGTTACGGAGGAGTTCTGCATTTCAGGCAAATGATTCTAATTATCAGGGTCCAATGGATGTGCAAGGGCTGGGATAGATGTAATTGGGAGTGTGCTAAGTGAGGAGTCAGTTTAAAAGTTCCCCAGGGATCAAGACTAGGTATTTAATTGTCTAACTTTTAAATATCAAACTTTTAACTTTCACCTCAACTTCAGCAAAGCCCCCGGAATTCTCAAATTTAAATGGAGATTTCTGGAGGGTTCTAGATGCAGGAGAATTGCCCATCAGAATCTTCAGTTTCATGAATTATTCCCTTGGTGCCTGCTACATTGGTGATTTTACAGGATCATGGCGTGCAACACCCATCTAGCCATCAGAAAATCCAGTTCAATATTTTTAAAAATTGAGAAGTAGCATAACCTTTAAAAATATACTGCTTTGGAAGAACTTCAGTATGGAAATAGACCAACAGAAAATAGTATGAAATACTTCAATCAGGTAGGAAAAAGTTAGGTCCTTTTACTGTCACATTTTCTAATGATAGATGAATGTTCAATCTACATATATGTAGACAGCCTTCCTCCTCGAAAGACATTATTTGCACCGATGTAGTCATCTCAACTCTGCATAAGGTAACAGTGTGGCTTAGAAGTCCCACGCTTACATGTTGGTATCTGCTATATTTTCTGCAAAGGACAACAGCATGTTGTGAAGGTGCATGATTTGCTGGTCTTTGTTTTCTTCAGGCCCTCTTTTCAACCAGCTGTGCTTCCCATTTCTGCTCATCTCTTCCAAACAGTCAGACTCCAGAGAAATTGTATGTCAGCTGTCATTTTCAATTTGTCAACTGCATATTAAGCTTGCTGGTGTTCTTGTAGGAGGAATGGATGCTCAGGAGGTTGTGACACAGTCGCCACTTCACATGAAAGGTTGTTTTTGGGTATACAGTCACCATCCAAAGTGGTTGAGCCAGCACAAACATTTTTGTCTTAGCAATAAGTGTTTACTGATTAATTTAACTCACCAGGACCTCAGTGCCAATGCCTTGTCCTAGAAAAAGATGTCAAGGATATGCACAAGACAGTGAAGGTGGAAACCATTCAGCCTTGTTTCCTGCTTTGCAGATGTTATCCAGGTCTCACCATTTCAGAGGTTTGTATCATGGACACAAAGTTTGGTAGACTCTGGTTTTGGTGCTCTCAAGTCAGGTTGCCATTGTTCTACATTTTCCTACTCAGCTTGGACATAACAATCGTATGTTGATTTCAGCATCAAGTGACAGACTGGTAGTAATTTCACAGCTTAGATATTTGAAGCTATCAACACTACTAGATGATTGTATGGCAAAGTGCAGAACCATGACATTTGTCTTCCTAATGCTGGACAAATTAAACTCTTGACAGGCAAGAGAGAGCTTGTTCATTTGTTCTGGAGATCTTTCTCATTACAGAATGTCAGTATTCTATTATCAGTGTACAGCAACTCTCACTTTTTCTTGGCTGTTATGCAAGCAAGGCTCAGCAGCTCTCTCAGTGCTGGAATGTAAACCGACACCCTTTCCCGATGACCTGTAGGCACAAGGCAATAGCAAAAAGAAGAATGTACCAAAGACTATTATGCAAGAAAACAACCTCCTGCAGATCTCGAAGAGTTCCATATTGCCCCATCATACTTGACCTTATCCAACATGTTGTCACAGAAAGAGGAGGTCACCGTGAGCAGCTTCAGTGAACAGCCAGTTTTCTACAGCAGTAAAAACAGACAGACAGTCTCTGATCAGGTGGTTGAATATCTTCATCAACCTTACTGATGCAAAATATCGTAGTTTCCTCAGTTATTGACATTTCTCTTGGAACTGCCTGACTAAGAGGATCATGTCAACTGCAGATCTGAAGCATATTATTGTGCTTCAAGACATCCCAAAGCATTTCACATTCAATTAATTTTTGAGGTATGGTTCCTTGTTTTATAGGCAAACATGGCAAGTTATTCTTACAAGCAAGGACCAAAACCCAGCAACTAAATTAATGACCAGATAAGTATGTCAGTCATGCCAATTGGAAGATAAATACTGGCTGATACACCAGAACTGTCCTCTTATTCTTCAAATACAATTCCAAGCACTCCTTCACCAATGGACCGGTGTTTTAGCCAAGATTATGCTCAAATGCCTGAATGAGGAATGATACCATGACCTGTTCTACTGTTGAGCTAACGTGACACTTGAAGCCAGGGGGTGGGTTGCCATTCAGCCATATTCTGATCTGGCTTTCTGGGAGCACAATTTGATCTAGAAATGGCCTTTTACACTCTAGTTTCACAGTGGCAATCACTAACCTCAGTCAACTCCTCTGAGCAGCAGAGGAGAGAAATCAAAGTTATATTTTGACATTATTCTAGGGATAAATTCAAATTCCATTGAAGATCACAAGACCAAAAAAAAAGCAAATCAAATGTATTGTGTCACCTGATGGGGAAATCTCTCTATTGTGTGGGCTTTTAGCCAACTTTCAACCTCTTCAATTTTCTTCTTATGAACTGCAAGTTCACTCTGAAATAGAAAATGAAATTAAATGACACCATAAAGAGAAAGAGCATTGGAACTACAATCAAAATACGATCTAAATGTAAAACTAGTTGTAAAATTGATTGTAACAAGAAATTAGGTCCAAAACTGATAAATCCATTTGGATTCCAAATATTCAGTTGACAGATCTGATTATTTGTGTTTAAGTTTTGAGATCTTGTAAAATAATAATTTCTAGTGTAATATATGGCTTACAAAAAGTAACCTTAAAAAGTTTAGGAAGTTTCTGCTATGATCAAAATCTTAGCATTGAGTGTCAAATTGAATATAAGCAATATTTTCAGAATAGCTTATCTAATGTGGGGGAGCTCTGATTGAGAAAATGCCAAAACTATGAAGAACATTTGAAGTAGGAAATAACTACTAAGTTGTTAACAATTTTTAATATGAGCATGAGTCAATGGATTGTTTTGAGAATTAACACACAGACACACACACAAAAACAAATATCCAACCAACTGCTTTGTACTCTAATAGCTCAGTGAGAATGTTTTAGGTTCAAGTCCCAATCCACAAAATTGAATACAAAATTGAGTCAGTTGACTCTCCAGTTCAGTACTTTGGATGCTTGCAAAGTCAGAGGTGCCGCCTTTTGGCAGAGATGCAAGACTCAATCTGCCCCTTTAGACAGAAAGTAGTCAGAAAAGAGCAGCAGAGTCCAAGCCACCATTTATCCCAGAAGTGAAAAAAAGTCATTGGCCAAAATGAACAGCTTCTTTCTACAGATCATCTGCAGTCCTTTCAGCAAAACTGCTTATGCTTCTCAGAGTGCCAAAGGTTTCCTATTACTTCTGAAGCGAAGCAAATCAAAGTTCCAGAATACTGTTATATCTAATTTTTGATCTTATACCAGGTACCATGTCATTTTTACACCCTGTATTTCTAGAAACATCACAATTCATATTTCTATCTGTAATAACCTTATTATTACATTCACCAAATGTCAGGACAAGGCTTACATGCATTGCCCATTCCTCAATGCCTTTGAGAAATGGTAGTAATCCACCCTCTTAGATATCTATAGTGGAGTGGGAGGCGAAGGTTGTCCATGCTTCTGTTAGGTAAGGAGCTCTCGGAAAACCAAACAGACTTGCAAAACAAGATGGTGTATGACTTGAAGGTGGTAACATTCCAATGCATCTGCTGTCCTTTCCTGAGGTAGAAGAGGTCGAAGCTTGGAACTTGCTGCTACAGAAACTAGAGTGAGTTACAGCAGTGCATTTTGTTGTTAGTACACACTACAAATATGGTGCACCAGTATTGTAGGAAGTGATTATCTGTAATGGATGGTCTGCTGCTTTGTATTTCATAGTGTTGAGCTTCACTCATGCATATAAACAGAGAGTATTCCATCACACTGACTTGTGCTTTGTAGATGGTTGACAGGCTTTAGGGAATCAGGTGACAAGTCACATACTGAAGAATAAACCGACTTTAATCTGCCCTAGTACCCACAGTCTTTTAGAATCATAGAGTTATACAGCAGAGAAATGGGCACTTCAGCCCACCATGTCTGTGCTGACCAACAAACAATGAACTACACTAATTCCATGTACCTGCATTTGGTCTATAGCCTACTATGCCCTGGCATTTTAAGTGCTCATCAAAATGCTTCTTAAATATTGAGAGAGTACTTGTCTTCATCACCCTCTCAGGCAGCATGTTGCATATTTCCATCAATGCCTGGGTAATTTTTCTTCACCCCCGTTTCTTATCTAAATCACATCCTTTTCACCCTAAAAACTTATGCTCTTTAATCTTAGACATGAGCCTTGGGAAAAACACTCTCATGATCCACCCTGTCTATGTCTCTCATAATATTGTAGATCTCAAATCAGATTGCCCCTCAGTCTCCTCTGCTCCAAGAAAAACAAACCTAGCCTATCCCATCTCTCCTCATAATGGAGACTTTTCATCCACGGCCACATCCTGGTGAATCACCTCTGCATCCTCTCCACTGGAATCACATCCTTCCAATAATGTGGCAACCAGACAAGAACTGCAAACAGTATCCCATCTGTGGCCTTTGTTTTGTGAAGTTGTAACAAGACTTCCTTGTTCCTATATGTTACGCCTGGCTAATGAAGGCAAGCATGCCTTCTTCATCACCGTATCCACCCATGCTGACACCTTGAAGGATCTATGGGTTCCTTTGTTCCCCAGCACTCCCCAGGGACATACCATTCATTAAGCGTATACTTACCTTATCAGACCTCCCAAAATGCATCATCTTGCATTTATCAGGAATAAATTCTCGTTAGAGAGAAGAAGGTTAAGAGGTGACTTGATAGAGACATACAAGATGATCAGAGGATTAGATAAGGTGGACAGTGGGAGCCTTTTTCCTCGGATGGTGATGGCTAGCACGAGGGGACATAGCTTTAAATTGAGGGGTGATAGATATAGGACAGATGTCAGAGGTAGGTTCTTTACTCAGAGTAGTAAGGGCGTGGAATGCCCTGCCTGCAAAAATAGTAGACTCGCCCACTTTAAGGGCATTTAAATGGTCATTGGATAAATACATGGATGATAATGGAATAGTTTAGGTTAGATGGGCTTCAGATTGGTTTCACAGGTCGGCGCAACATCGAGGGCCGAAGGGCCTGGACTGCGCTGTAATGTTCTATGTTCTATGTTCTATGTTCTAAATTCCATCTGCCACTGCTCTGCCCAATATCAGGTTGTAGCCCGAGACCAACCCCCTCACCATCAACACCAATCTGTATCATCTTCAAGCTTACTTATTATATGTTCTCTCTTCACGTGCAAGTTCTTAATGCACATAATTAACAGCAAAGGGTCCCAGGATCAATCTGTGGTACATGGTTGGTCACAAGCTTCTAATTTAAAAAAAAATCCCTCCACCAGCCTTTGCCTCCTACTTGTAAGCCAATTTTGGATCCAGTTTGCCAACTTGCCTTGGATCCCATGGACTCTTAACATTTGGGCCAGCCTTCTATGTGGGACTTGTTAAAGGCCTTAAATGAAGTCTGTGTAACTGCATGACCCTCATCACGATATTTAGTCACTTCTTCAAAACAAAAAACAAAGAAAATGTATGGACCAGACCAAAACTCCTCAAAATATTCAGGATATAGTCTAGACCCTAACCTTTCCTTATATTAAAAGTAAATGTAAGGTGTTGAATTCCAGATACAATTCGATTGATCAAACTACTGAATTTAAAGCAAAACACAATTTATTCATCCACTATAGTTAAAATACAACAAAGCAAAGGAGGAATTGGAATAACATAGCTCTACTGGAAATCTTAACAGAATAATAGATATAGTAACTATTACTGATTAACTGTTCCAATACAGTAGCATTCCATAAACGCACCCTTGGCAAAAGGCAAATTCATAAAACAGATTGTCTCATATGCAACTCCAGTAGCAGGAAGAGTCTAGTAGCTTTTGGTTGTAACTAAGAGAGGGAACGAAAACAGCTTTCACTTCAAGACTTTGAAGTCTAAAACTAAAAATCCTGATTCTATGGGAGCTTGACCACACCTATTTCAGCCTGCTTCTATTGTTGCAATTTTAAAAAAAACCCAAGGCCTCACAAACTGTTTACTCTAGCGGCTCTGGTAGACTGCTCGTAACCTCTGGCCTAAAACCTCTCAAAAAAAAAAAGGGGACAAAATAACCTCTTAAAGCCACAGTATTGCCACATAAAATTAAATTAGTCAGATAGGATCTCCCTCCAAGAAATCTGTGCTGACGATCCCTGATCAATCCCTGCCTTTCCAGGTATTGATCGATCCTGTCCCTCAAATTTTGATCCAATAAATTTCCGGACCACTGACATCAAAACAACAAATATGTAAGCACCTTGTCTAACCCTGCTGCCCTTCTTGATTGCGTGGACCCAGAGCGCACATAGATTGGCCCTTTGGTCTCTAACAGGCCACACTTTTTCTTTGTTAATCCTTTTACTCTTAATATAGCTATAAAATGCTTTGGGTTTTCCTTATTCCTATCTGCCAAAGATATTTTGTGGCCCTTCTTTCCCCTCAATTTCCTTTTTTTGAAATCAAACCCTACACACTCTATATTCCTCAAGGGCCTCTCTTGCTTTTACGTGCACTATATCTGACATATGCTTCTTTCTTCATCAAACTTTCAATATCCATTGATATTGACGGTTCACTGGACTTGCTGCCCTTGCCCTTGACTCTTAGGAGGAATACACTGGCCTTGAATTCTCACCATACTATTTCTAAAAATTAAAAAACCTCCTACTTTCTAAACAAAAACAGAAGTTGGTGGAAGCATCTGTGAAGAGAAAAAAAAAAAGTCAGCGTCAACGTTTCGGGTCCGGAGACCCTTCCTCAGTGAGTTCTGAGGAAGGGTCACCAGGCCCAAAACGTTAACGCTGGCTTTTTCTTCACAGATGCTGCCAGACCTGCTGAGCTTCTAGCAACTTCTATTTTTGTTCCCAATTTACAGCATCCGCAGTTCTTTCGGTTTTTATTTCCCATTTTCTAAACATAGACTTAGATGCAAGTAGCCGTTCCCAGTCTATGTTTACCAGATCATGTCTAGTGATATTAAAAATCAGCCTTACCTCAATTTAAACACTTAATTTCTGCACTAAACTTATCAGTTTGAAATTAACAGAGATATGGTCACTATCCCCAAAATGCTTGATCATGAAATCTTCAATCACTTGACCAGCTTCATTTCCTATGATTAGTCTGTCCAGAGATGGGGCAATGCTAGACCTATCTGGTTACGGGCTGTCCATAAATTCTTCTGGTCAACAGCAAACCTCAGGATATTGATAACGGGACATCAGTGACAAAACGCTATTTAAATGTCAAGAGGAGATAGTTTGTCTCCAGCAAGCAAGAATCTGTCATTGCCTGGCAGTTGCAAGTCATGAATGTTATTTGCCATAGTCAATCCAAGCCTGCATGTTATCCTGATCATGTTATATTTCAGCAGAGACTGCTTTAGATGCTGATGAATTGCAAATTGTACTGAAGACTGTTTAATCATAAGCAAACAACCCTAGATTTAATATTCTGTTGGATGGAACATCAGTGATGAAGCAGCTAAAGATGTTTGGGCATAGGGCACCATCTTCAGTAACCCTTTCAGCAATGTCTTGGGGCTGAGATGGTTGGCTTTCATCAACTACTTTCATAGTCTTTCTATGATTCCAGCCAGAGAACTATTATTCCCCTGATTTCTATTGAGTTAAAAGGAATTTGATCTCCTTTATGCCACACTCAGTCAAATACTGCCTTGACGTCAAGTGCAGCCACTTCCAACTCAAAGGGACTTGGGGATCCTAGTTCAGGTTTCTCTTAAGATTAACATGCAGGTTCAGTTGGCAGTTAGGAAGGCAAATGCAATGTTGACATTCATTACAAGAAGGCTAGAATACAACAGCAACGATGTACTGCTGAGGCTGTATGGGACTCTGGTCAGACCACATTTGGAATATTCTAAGCAGTTTTTGCCTCCACACTGAAGGATGTGCTGGCGTTGGAGGGGGTCCACAGGAGGTTTAAAAGAATGACTATTGGAATGAAGGGCTTGTCATTTGAGGAGCAGTTGAGAACTCTGGGTCTGTACTCGATGGAGTTTAGAAGGGATGCGAGGTGTGTGTAGTGGGGGGTGGTGAGCAGAGGTCTGGTAGAAACATACAGAACGCAGAGGTCTGGATAGATTGATATGAAGAGGTCTTCATTAGTAGGACAGAGTAGGACCTGAGGCTACAGCCTCCAAGTGAAGGAACCCCCTCTTAGAACAGAAATGGAAAAATTTCTTCAGCCGGAGGGTGGTGAATCTCTGGTACTCATTCCACAGAGAGGGCTGTGGAGGCCAAGTTGTTGACTGTACTTAAGACAGAGAGTCTCTTGATTAGTAAGAGGATGAAGGGCTATGGGCAGAAGGCAAGAGAATGGGGTTGAGAAATATCAGCTATGATCAAATGGTGGTGCAGACTGGATTGGGCCGCATGACCTAAATTTGCTCCTTTATCTTGTGGTGTTAAAACTATAAGTGACTCAGGAGTCTATTCTCCATATCTTTGACTGTAGGAAAAAATACATACCTTCCGATCTTCCCTGATAGTTGTCATCAAATTTATATTTCTGACCTCCAAGTGTATGCTTCCAGAATTTAGAAGCACATCTTCTTTGTAAAATTAACAAAGTTCATGGGCTAGAACAGGAATTGTAGCTTAATTCTAATTGCTTGCAAATAAAACTAGTCCACTTACAAATTATCAGCAAAAATTGTCTTTTAGCTGTTACTTGGACATCAAGAAGTGAAAAGGTACAGAGATGGAAGGAAGGATGGACGCATTAACTGGCCACACTGTATCCCTCCTAGTCTTTGACCAGCAAGAAGAACTGCAAGATCTTAGGATAAATCAGTGGCCACTAGGAATCATGGGTGATAACATGGAGGGTTCATGTACAAAAAGGAGGGTATTTGCATCCTAGTTTGAAAAACTACTGGCAAAGTAAACTTCCACTAAGTCTGGTGAATTGGCCAAAAAGGTGCCAAATCTACTTAAAGTCAGAAGGATTGGGGCAGGGTAAGAGAGTAATGATTATTAGTATGCCAAAAGGACCCAAGCATCACATTTCCTATTTGAGGTGTGACTGACATTATGCAGTATTAAGGTTTACTGAAATTGTTGTTCAGACACACTTACTAACTGTAAAATGAGTCTGTATAATGATTTATAACAGAACTTGTTCAATTATGTGTGAATTAGTTGCAAATGGAAATAACTTCCATTTTATAAAAGTATCAAAAATCAAAATAAAACAAGGTGCATCATCAAATAAAGTGTGACAAATACAAGGAAGGGCATGTGTGTACATCATTAAATTCATATTAGCGAGTAACTCACTTCCTGACTTGCCAAAGCCTAATCACTAATCTACAAGCCACACGTCAGGAGTGATGGAATGCTCTTCACCTGCCTGGTTGAATGTATTTCCAATAACACCTAAGGAGCTTGACACCACACAGGGCAAAGCAGCCCACTTAACCGGCACCACATCCATAAACATCCACTCTCTCCACCACGGACGTTCAGTAGCAGCAGTGTGTACCATGTAGCAGATGCACTACAGAAATTCACTACGGCTTCTTAGGCAACATCTAAATCCAGTAACACCTAAACAACTAGAGCAGTAGCTACATGTGAACACCACCACCTCCAAGCTCCCCTCCTGGAGATGCACCATCCTAATTTGGAAACATACCACTTTTCATTCAGTGTCGTTAACTCATTAACGGCATTGGTCTACCTGCAACAGGTAAGAAGGCAGCTTACCATTACCTTCTCAATGGCAGCTAGGCCAAGCCTGCAACACCCACATCTGATGAGTGAATACATATGTAATTAGACATTCACATCGTGACTTCACAAATTGATGTCATGAATCCAAAATAAGAAACTGAAACTGCTTAAAGTTGCAACACCATCTTAATTATATATGCAAAGCTGCATGGATAAGCATTATTACACTAATAGAAAAGGCAAGCTTTGAGAGAAATAATGGAAATAGATTTTAAAATCTATATGCCTGAACTTCGTGGGGTTTACTATAAAATGACATACATACCTGATTTTGAGGTTTATATTCATCCACCCAGGCTTCATCAGAATTTGAAACTGAATTTTGTCTACAACAGTTTAAGATCTGCTCTGCATCAGATGCCTTTGTCCTTTTTTGGCTCGTTGTGATATTTAAGACAGAGGACTGCAATGTTTTGTCTTGTTCTCTCCGAAGAATTTTCTGAACTCCAGCACTGGACTCTGAATTGCTAGATGGTTTTCTGTCCAAGGTTATTGGTAAGCTAGAGTTGCTTATACCATCAAAAGACGGATTCACCCAATAGGTCACCTAAAATAGCAAATTTTGGAAAAGAAAGACTCAGTTATAAAATGCCTTTCATGACTGGAAGTCATATTAAAATTCATTGAAGTATATTTGAAGACACTGCTAAAAACATGGCAGAGAATTTGCACGTGCCTGGAAAGAATGAGAGGACCAGGTAATTTGTTCTCTTAATGATGTTAATTGTTTCTCACATCTTAGCCAATATTCATCCCTCAATGTCACTTACATCATTTAGCCCTCATCAACCTAGCAGCTTTCTTTATATCTTCAAGATAAAGTTTTTTACCCGTTAGAGTTATACTGAGTTCACATAAATACATGTTATGTGAGGTAATTACTATGGTAAAACTACAGTGTAAACACGTTTCCAAAAGTAAATCATCTAGCTTATGATGAGGTAGAGGAGCAGTCTTAAAACTTAAGATATTTAGGAGCTGGTATACTTATTTCTACATGACTTTCAACAATGGAATTAAATATTGCAGGGAAAAATGCAGTATCAATATGGGTATTTAAGAATAATATGCAATTTTACAACTTATTTTAAAATTAAGTGTTACAGCAATGCCAATATTACATTTTAGGAAGGCTTGGTGCAGAAAAATAGACATTTCAACCTGATCCAAGAGCAGTATTTCAGAGCAATGCAATGCACTAGTTGGTAATAATGTTAAATAGTACACCCTATTGTGCATGACTCAATTTGCAAAAATGGTGTTTATATAAACAAACAGTCTTGTTTGTACGTTGAAAGCTTATTCAAACTAAATTGAAATGTCCTGGACCTAAAGGCGACAAGTATCAACAACGTTCTTTTAAAGTAAAAAAATACAAAATACACAGTCCAACATTTACAAAACATTACTAGGAGCTTTTTCCTTTGTTTTCCAATTTACCCCATGTTGCTAAAAATATTTTGGTTGTACTGGCGTATGTTTTAGTACCTCTGATACATCTCACAAGAAATTTTCTCTGTCGACACTTATAACTGAGGAATTATTTGAAGCGCTGTATCTCAATTTCTAGTTCTTGGTCACCTCAACCACAGGGTGTCCGACAAGCATGGCATTATCTTGTGGTCTGTTCCTGGGTTTGGCAGTCAAGAGCTGCAGGATAGACACAGCAATGGCATTCTTTGTTTCAGCTGCCTACTTCTCCTTCATGGCAACATCCACAGTAATGTGTCCTTGGTAGAGTAACTGGTGTCTATTACTGCTGTTGAGGATTTCTGGGACAAGGGAGCAATGAAGGGATTGTATTATCATTTATAACAACTGAGTTTCAAGGAGAGTCATAAGCAACTCAAACTGTTAATTCTGTTTCTCTGTCCAGAGATGCTGCCAGACCTGCTGAGTTTCTCCTGCATTGGCAGTAGTTTGCTTTGGAGAATTATTATTTAATTGGATGTTTGTTTGATTTATTTCTGGCTTATTAGGGGGCATAAAAAGTCTGTTAAATTAACTTTTGATTTCATTGATTGCCCTGGGGTGTCTCAGTTTTTCAGTAGTGGTCACTGGACAGCAGTCAGAAACAGGTGGCTAATTTCCTCCCCCTCTCAATAATAAGGATCTTAAGGCACTTTCTGTTGCTCAGCTAAGAATAACTTGGAGTAGTAAGTGAACTCAGGTCTTCCCATACTCTTCTGGCTCACATTGCAATGCTTTATTTACCTACTGAACTAATTAAAGTTGCATTGAATATACAGCACAAAAACCAGCCATTCAGCTGAAATCTCTGGTGCATATGTTCTACACAAGCCTCCTCTCACTTCAGTTCATCTAACTCGACGAGACCTGTCTGTCTCCTTGGTGTACTTGTCAAACTATGCTATTTGTCTCAAACACTCCTATGCATCAGCAAGTTGCAGAAATTCATGTCTTGAACAGCATATTCAAACATGCAGCATTCTGAGCATCAAAAGTAAAAGTAGCTCCTCTGAATGTGAATAATTTATGATTTACAACATTAATGCAGCTTAGACTTGTTTGAAACAGAAGTTGCATGACTATTGTAAATAGAAACAAGGGAACAGTTTATTTTATCATCCAGGTACTGTAACTGTGAAAATGTACAAGTTATAATCCCAACATATTGATTACAAAATACATTTACCTTAGCAGAAACAACCTTTCTGCTGATAGAGGATTTTGACATCATCAACTTGGGTGTTATTCATAAGCCGGCTACGTTCTGCACCATCAGTAATAAAGTCACCTCTCAAGTTCAGCTTCAGGAAGGAAAGAAAATACCAAGTTTTAACTTGAATCATTTACCTTTGTGTATGCTCACTAAGTACTCAGAATGAACATAAAATATAAATTGTCAACTGAGTGCAAGTCATTGGTAAAACTGAATGTGCAAACTCAGACATGGAGCTTCTGCTCAATTGTACTGGATTATTTTGAAATTATTAGGATAAATAGTGCAAAGGATTGTGGAACTTTAAGGGGATATGGTGCTCTGCATGATTCAAATTGATCTTGAGACTAATGCAAAAAATCTCAATGTGCGAAATGCATATACAAAAGCGACATTAGTCTCTGTAATGTAATCACTATTGTGGGTTTCTGTATTTGCACTCAATCGAAGTTGTTTGAGGCAGCTGCAAAAATTAAACTAGATCTTTTGGGTACTGGGTATATTTGGTAAGTTTTACTTTGAAATATACTAAGGAATGATACAATGTGCCCTAATCTAACTAATAGTCTAATAACTGAGTGTTTTTAACAAGTATTTTCAGTCATTTAGGATCAGTTTACTGACACTGATTTAAATGTTTTTTAGAAAAAAATTCAACCCTTAGTATATGTGTATTAATAACACTCTACTACCATACAAATACAAAAGTTATTTTTCAAAAACGCTTTATTTTGACACCGAGATAACAAGGTGTAGAGCTGGATGAACACAGCAGGCCAAGCAGCAGAGGAGCAGGAAAGCTGACGTTTCGGGTCTGGATCCTTCTTCAGCAAACCTACTATCCCACTATCTCTTTATTTTGATACTGTTCAGCTGTGCTGGTTCATAAGCAGACTTCGCATTTGGTTAAGAATTAGAGCAGAAACTCAGGAAAATCAAAATGGGTGCAAATTTGGGTAAAGCAGACGGAAATAAAACAAATACAATCCCACTGTCTACTATTGAATTGAAAACTATAATTTATTCACAGATTTTCACAATTGGGAACAATACAATTGACCTCAATATCCTTTAGCTGGAAAAGGGAAATTGGGGGAGGTGGTTGCAAAATCAGCCATCACTTTGAACTTGATCACAAGCCAATTATTCTTGTTTAAGGAATGTAGGCGAGAACACACCTGGGCATCTACAAATGAATGGTTAATAATTACTGTCCATGATCACGTGAGGACAGAACACTCCAGGTGGTTGTACATACGTTTTTGCTGCTTTCATCAGTCCATTCCTAACTCATAAATACTGAAGTCAATAATTGTATGTTTCTTTATTGAGAGCAGAGGGTAGGTTTGCCCATTAAATTATACCACAGCACATTATTGCTACAAGAAAGGAGAAACAGCTTAAAAACTAGAAGATTAGTTAGAAGGTAGTGCATCTTACATAGATCAGTCAGACTAAAGCCTAAATTTTAGCCTTTAGAAGTTTTCTTGATGTAAAATAATACAAAAATATCCACATAGAAGTTTTTGATCAGACCATTTGTAGGTACTGAATGATCAGCAGGCAAGAAGGATTAAAGGAATGACAGACTGAGATGGCATGATATTGCTAGTTACTTCTCTACATTGTCCTTCTTTAACTACTAACTAATAGAGAGTGTACCAGAAGAAAGGCAAGGCAATTCTGCCTGTGACACGGAATGATTTATTTTGGATTCCAATACCTTACTTAAGAAGAACAATGCAAAAAGAAAAATTGCTAACCATGATTAAAGAAAAGCTTACAATTTGCATTTTGCAATGTTCAGTTTCAAACAACTGAGGCAACTCAAACCCCATCAACTGCACAAAACCATGAGGGGGCCACACTAAGCACTCCGAGGTGGCCACTTTTTACAAAGTTGAAAACTGAAGTTTGACTGAAACGTTACAGCAAAAATTATATCAGACAGAATGCAAGAAACACTATCATGTGAAAATTAATTTAAATTAAAAACTTGGAGAAATACATCATAAGACATTTGGGAACTACTGAAGGCACCATCCTGTCCTAGATAATCACTTTGTGATGCCATACATGAAGTACCAGAAAAACCTTTTGACATGGAACGAATTGTGTAGTTGTAGTACTTTTTAAACAATCTGCAGTCAATGACAATGCTTCTAGGCCAATTCAAATTGTGGAATTAATTGATTTCAAATGGCTAGAGACATTAGTTTTCCCTTTGCTTACTTATCACTGCCAATGCAGTGGACCAATGCATTTGGACAAAATTTAGCAAGCCAACCTCAGTATTTCATGCAGCTAGCGTATGTAATACAGGATGAATTAAATATTAATACTTGAACATAATTTCAAAAAATTGACAGATCTACTGCACTGTACAGCACTGACTGACTGCTTTGATTTTTCACAGTCAGATCCTAAATATAAAGGAAGTGACTCAAATCTATTTTATCATAGAATCCCTACAGCACAGAAGCAGGCCATTCGGTCCATCGAGTTCACACCACCTCTCTGAAGAGCATCCCACCCAAACCCACTCCCCTACCCTATAACCCCACATTTCCCATGGCTAACCCACCTAACCGACATAATCCCTGAACACCTCGGGCAATTTAGCATGGCCAGTCTACCTAACCTACACATCTTTGGGCTATGGGAGGAAACTGAGCACCTGGAGGAAACCCACGCTGACACAGGGAGAATGTGCAAACTCCACACAGTCACCCAAGGCTGGATTTGAGTCCAAGTCCCTGGAACTGTAAAAGATAGCAGTGCTGACCGCTGAGCTACTGTTGAACAACTTGTATCTGTGCTTCTAACACAGAAAAAAGTCCTTCATGGAAAATAGTCAGAGAAAAATCAACACTGATACAAAGCAAGAAACATTAAAGCAAGTGACAGAGCTTGGTCAACGGTAAGTTTTCAGAAGGGTCAAAATTAGAGCAAGAGAGGTGGAGACACCAAGGTTGAAGGTGACTTGCCCTTTAAAACTATTAACATGCAGCTGGTGGGATAAACAACTAAATCACATCCCTTTCAGGTAGGCAAGTTAATGTTGCCTGTTAAAATCCTAAAACTAGATTTTTATCTTGATAAAATAAATCTGAGCTGATTATGTACATGCAAATCAAGGAAAAACACTGGAGAGGGAGAAGGAGAGGTTAGGAAAATATTTCAAATGGCAGGATTCTATAATCAAATAGTTTGAAAATCAACCAAAAGAAAATCTCTTATCCCTGAATTTGGATTGGTAATGTGCATAAACACATTACATAAAAAAAAACTAGAGCACTGCAGATGCTGGAAATCAGAAACAAAAACAGAAATTGCTGGAAAATCTCAGCAGGTCTGGCAGAATCTGTGGAAAGAAAGCAGAAATAACATTTAATTCCAGGGACCCTTCTAGACTTGCTCAGTTTTTCCAGTAATTTCTGTTTTTGTTCATACACATTACATGTCATATCTTTAAATCTCATAGATTAGACATGATCACACTTTATACTCAAAAAATGTTGGCACTTCATCATGTATATTTCTTGCTGTTCTCAGTGGGACTGATGTACTGTTATTTGGCACATAACTGATTTGCACATGGTACCACAACAATTGGCCTGAGCTATCTACAATAATATTATGCATAAACAAATATTTATACTGTAACACTTGGTGGGTGGTGCTAAACCATTATACAGGGACTCAAACCTATAAAAATTGGGGAACCAAAAACCAACAAAGCAAGATTGAGCAAGGAAACTGATGGGAGATACAGGTAAAGATTTTAAGGATTCCATATCTTTATTTTATTTTCCTTCATTTTTTCAAAGACACGGACATCACTAGCAGGGACGGTATCTGTTACCAACTCTTAATTGTTTTGGAGAACAGTTATTACTCAACCACATTACTAACAGTTTGGAGTCACGCTTTTCTTGGGGACATAAACAGTTAAAAATTTGGTAGAGCCGAATATGATGTTTTGAAAATAAGGCTTCAGTTCGGTAAACATTTTTTTTTTGGGGGAGGATAGGGGAAGAAAGTGAGGGATGCGGAACTTGATAGACATTAGAATTCCGGACCGAAGGAGTTCGACAAGGTGAAAAACAGGTCAGACGCACAGAACATTTGAGCAATAAATTCCCGAGATGTGATTTGGGATTTGGGATTTTAATACCTTCAGCGTACAAACAGTGGCGCGACAGGGGAAAGAGTTTTTTTTTTAAAAATACAGAATTAGAAATAGACAGATACATGGCAAAGAGAACATCACAACCTACTTCGACCTGCGCGGAAGACAGGTGGGAAATTCTTGGCTTCTGCCAAGATTGTCCCGCCCATAATCACAGTGAAGGGAATACCTACTGTTCCGGCAAAATTCCGAATTTACTGAAGCAGCAGGAACGAAGAGCGGAGCTGGAATGTGGTTCCCAGACTTGCAGCACAGACTCCGGCTACTTCCCGGACGATGGTCCCGAGGCCGGGACAAAATCGAAGCTCTTTAGGCGGTACAGGGTGTTAGTGCACCCGCTAGGACACAGCATTATCGGACTGAAATCATCTGTCCACACATACCTGCCGAACAAGTCAAAATTTTCACCGCAAAACCATCAACTCTCACTTCCCTCCGTCCTGTTTAAAATACACCAACTGTTCTCCGGGGACCTTCCTGCCACCGGCGCAGATCTTTAGCTTTCTTCAGAGGTGCCTGTTGTCCTTCCATGTCAGAGCGACGGGATATTGAATCGTTGTTTTCCGCTCAGATAAATCGCAAATCGGCCCGGATTAAATCCGTTCGTATTTAATTTCTTGAATCAGTTCAGGTGGTTGTGGAAAGGACAGGCCATGACGTAAATAGAGATGGTCGCGGCCAAGGTAAGGACCCCAGGAGTTTGACCGCGCGCGAGTGGAACATGGAGAGGAGACCTAACATATTGCTGACAGGTAGGAGGCCGAGTAACTCAAACCTCACCAACAAGTTATGCTTTTTTTCGTACCATGCTAAGTATTTTTCTTTGCCATTTTTGTTGTTTCCCGTTATGGCACCAAAACAAAAAGGGAAAGGTGACTCGACCATGGCTAGTAAGGGAAAAAGGGGATAGTATTAGATCCAAGGAAGCTGCATAGAAGTTGGCTGAAAATCGCAGACCTGAGGAGTGGGAGCAGTCTAGATTTCAGCAAAGGACAACAAAGGGTTTGTTTAAGAGGAGGAAAATGTCAAAGTTTGCTGATGGCACTAAGATGAGTAGTAGAGCAGAAGACACTGGAAATCTGCAGAGGGATATAGATAGGTTAAGTGAGTGGACAAGGGTCTGGTAGATGGAGTATAATTTTGGTAAATATGAGGTCATCCATTTTGGTAGGTATAACAGCAAAATGGATTATTATTTAAATGGTGAAAAATTGCAGCAAGCTGCTGTGCAGAAGGACCTGTGTGTCATTGTGCTTGAATCACAAAAGTTGGTTTACAGGTGCACCAGCTAAATAAGAAGGGAAATGGAATATTGTCCTTCCTTGCTAGAGGGATGGAGTTTACAAACAGGGAGGTTAAGTAGCAGCTGTATCGGGTACTGGTGAGGCCACACCTGGAGTACTGTGTACGGTTTGGTCTCCTTACTTGAGAAAGGATGCGTTGGCACTGGAGGGGGTGCAGAGGAGATTTCACTAGGTTGATTCTGGAGGTGAGAGGGTTGGCTTATGCAGAGATTGGGTAGCCTGGGACTATGCTCAATGGAATTTAGAAGAAGTGGGGGGAACCATACCAGAACACACACACAATTATGAAGGGAATAGATAAGATAGAAGCAGGCAGGTTGTTTCCACTGGCAGGTGAAACTAGAAACTAGAACCTCAAAATAAGGGGGCAGCAGATTTAGGATTGAGTTGAGGAGGAACTTCTTCACCCAAAGGGTTGTGAATGTGTGGAATTTCCTGCCCAGTGAAGCAGTTCGGGTAGGTTCGTGGAATGTTTTAAAAATAGATTTTTGAACAGTAAAGGAATTAAGGGTTATGGGGCGTGGATGGGTAAGCGGAGCTGAGTCCACAAAAAGATCAGTCAGGATCTTATTGAATGGCGGAGCAGGTTTCATGGGCTAAATGGCAAATTCTGGGCTCCTATTTCTTATGCTTTTATCAATAGAGTACAAGAACAAACTTGCAGGGTGTGAACAAACTGATTGTAAAAGCTTTTATTGTGATGTGAAGTGAAAAAGATTGGTGGAGACAAATGTTGGTCTATTACAATCAGAAACAGGGTAAGTTATAATGGAGGACAAAGTAATGACAAACCAATTAAATGCGTATTTTGGTTCTGTGTTATAAAGGAGAACTCAGTAACCGCCTACTGAGAGGGTGGAATCAAAGGAAATCTGTGTTATTAGGGAAATTTATGGGACTAAAGGTCCATAAATCCCCAGGGCCTAAATATCTACATCACAGAGTACCTAAGGAAGTGGCCCGAGGAAAAACTGAACGCATTGGTCATCTTCCAAGATTTTTTAAAACTCTGGAACAATTAGAATAGTTTGAAGAGTAAGCTAACATAACCCAACTATTTGAAAAAAGGAGGTAGAGAAAAACAGGTGGTATAGACCAGTTAGCCTGATATTTATAGTAAGGTAGAGTCAATTATAAAAGATATAGTAACAGAGCACTTGGAAAAGTGACAAGATCAGACAGAATCAGCATGATTTGACAAATCTACTGGAATTTTTTTGAAGCTGTAACTAGTAGAGTTGATAAGGGGGAGCCAGTGGATGTGGTTTACTTGGACATTCAGAAGGCTTTTGATAAGGTCCCACACAAGAGATTATTATGTAAAATGAAACTGTATGGGATTGGGGGTAGTGTACTGATGTGCCAACTGGTTGGCACACAGGAAACAAAGGTTTTACTAAAACTATCCAAAGCACTCCTCAGACCACGGTTTGAATGCTGTGAATAGTTTTGGACCCCTTACCTGAAAAAAGAAATACTGACATTGGAGGCAGTCCAGAGAAGGCTGATACCAGGTATAGAGAGACTGTTTTTGTGAGGACAGGTTGAGTAGATTGGGCCTGTTTTCATTGGAATACAGAAGAATGAGAAATGCCCTTATTGAAACATATAAGATTCTTAGATGACTTAACAGGTTAGATATGGAAGGATGGTTTCCTCTTCCAGGACCAGAGGACATAATCTCAGAATACGGTGTCACATTTTTAAAACAGATGAGCAATTTCATTTCCCAGAAGGTTGTGAATCTGTGGATCTCTTTACCAAAGAGGCCTGTGCCATTAAATATATTCAGAGATTGAGAGAGGTAGATTTTTAATCAGTGAGGGAATCAAGAGTAATGGGGAAAAGGCAGGAAAGTGAGTTGAGGCTTATCAGATCAGTGGTGATCTCATTGAATTGTGGAGCAGATTGATGGCTGAATGGCCTACTTCTGCTCTTAAGTCTTATGGTCTAAAGAGTAAGAATAAACAGGTAATTTTGAGTGGTAGCTAGTGACTTGTGAGGTATCACAGGATTCAGTGTTTGGACTCCAACTATTCACAATATAATGATTTGGGCAAGGTAACTAAATGTAATATTTCCAAGTCTGCAGATACACAAAGCTGGGTGGGACGGTGAACTGTGAGGAGGATGAATAGGTGCTTTAGTGTGATTCGGACAAGTTGAGTGAGCAGGCAAATGCATATCAGGTGACGTATAATGTGGATAAATATGAGGTTATCCACTCTAACGAAAACAGGAAGGCAGATTATTATTTGAATGAGAATAGATTGGGAAAGGAGGTGGTACAACAAGACCTAGGCGTCCTTGTACACCAGTTCCTGAAAGTTAACACGCAGATGCAACAGGAAGAAGTCACATTCTATGTTGGCCTTCGTAATGAGAGGATTTGAATACAGGAGTAAGGCTGTGTTGCTGCAATTGTACAGGGCCTTGGTGAGACCACACCTGGAGTACTTTGTGCAGTTTTGGTCTCCTTATCTAAGTGCACTCTCTTGATAGCAAGAATCGAAGGTTTACCATATTGATTCCTGGAATGGCAGGATTGACATATGAAGAAAGCTGGATCAGTTTGGACTATATTCAGTGGAGTTCAGAAGAATGAGAGGTGATAAAGTATCATAGAAACCTATAAAACTTTGAAAGGACTAGACAGGGTACACACACAAAGAATGTTCCTGATTACCAGGGAGTCCAGAAAGAGACGTCACGGTTTAAAGATACAGCATAGGCCATTTCAGACTGAGATGGGCTTCGCCCAGAGATTCGTGACCTGGTGGAGATCTCTGCCACAGAAACTGATTGAGACCAAAACATTGAATTGTTTCAAAAAAGAATTGTGTGTAGTCTTAAGATCTAAAGTGATAAGAAGGTATGGAGATAAAATGGCAACAGGATAGTGAGTTGGATAATCAGCCATGACCATATTTAATGGTGGAGGATGCTCAAAGGTCTGAATAGCCTACTCCTGCTCTTATTTTCAGTGTTTCTATGCAGTTCAATTAATTCCCACAATGCATTCAAATGGAATAAGTTTTTCCTAAAATGAAAACTGTTTAAATGAGATTTTGATCTACAATGTCAGTTATTCCTAATGAACCATGTATAGTATTTTTCTAAAATGTTTGCAATTTTTTTGGAACCTTTAATATAAAACAAATTCCCATTTGCAACCCACTGCACTCCAGGAGCTTATCACTCAAAAGTTGATACTGAGATCAAGAAGATGGCCTGAACACACGTGATCAAACATCTGGCCAAAGAGATCAATTTTAAGGGACATCTTAGAAGACGTGCAGAGGTTTGTAGCCTGGATTTTAAGGAATGCAAATTTCTTGGAATGTCTTCAGGCTAGGAGAGTTTACTGAGATGGTGAGAATTAGATTCATCAGGATTTGAATGTGATCAGGATTGTAAACCGGGAGGTATTGGGAACTCATTCATTCATTGAACACAGAGTGATTTAGTCATGCACAACACATGACAAAGCTGAACTTGCATGAATGCACAGCATTTACAGCACAGAAACAGACCATTGTGTTCAACTGTTTCCAAGCTCGTGTTTGTGTCCTGCTGCCCATCATTCCTCATCTAATCTAACAGTATCATATTCTCTTCCCTGAGATTAGAACAGTTTTCTTTTGCTGGTCTGTGAAATGTGGAATTATTTTCACCAAGAAGCTGTTGACACTGGGCTATTGGATTTATACAGGGCAGAGTTAGATAAATGTTAAAAAGACAAGGAAGTCAAAAATTGGGGGAGGGTCAGACAAGAAACTGGAGTTGAGACATGCAACAAGCTTGAAGGAGTGAAAGGCCTGCTTCTGCTCTGAAGTCCTGGGTCCCTAAATCTTGCTCAGCCTGATACAATAACCAGAAGAGGGTGATATTGGTGTGGAGTTTGTTGGAAGGTTGGATGATAATGGCTTTTGTGTTAATAGGAGATTATCATCAGAAACATAGACTGTGTATAGCAAACACCTCAAATCCATCGAGAGTTGTCAGCAGCACTGCCTTCGCAAAATCCTACAAATCCACTAGCAGGAGAAACATACAAGCAAGAATGCTCTCTCCCAGGCCAATATCCTCAGTATTGAGGCACTGGACATGTACCACCAGCTGTAGGCCACTTTGTCCGTATGCCTGACACAAGACTCCCTGAACAAGTGGCCTAATCCAAGCTCTCTAGTGGTAAGCGATCACTAGGAGGTCAGAAGAAATGCTACAAGGACATTCTGAAAACCTCTTTAAACAAATGCATTAACCTCACCGACACATGGGACTTGCTTGCCCAAGAAAGTACAAACTGGAGAAGAAGCATCTGCGAAGGCACCAACTACTTCAAGCATCATCAAATTGAGCACGTGGAGGCCCTGCTGAAACAGTGGAAAGGGTGCAGAGAACCAGATTATCCCACCAACCCACATTCTCAAACACCACCTGCCCTACCTGTGCCAGAGTCTGCAGCTCCTGGATTGGACAATTCAGCAACTGCGGAACCACCCCACCTCCTCTCGGAGTGGAATCAAGTCATCCTTTGTCCTGGGGGACTAGCAAAGAAGGAAAAATAAACTGAAGAGAATTGTAACTTCCCTATGACTGGATTGTACTCTTTGAACTTAGGAAATAAAACATGGAAGGGTGGAGAGTTCAGTCTGGATGCTATCAGCATACATGTAAAAGTTGACTCAATTTTGTTATCATGAATCAGAGCATGTAGAAATAAGGGAGAATAGCTTCAGGATTATTCATTAAGTTTCAATGGCTTGGTGGAGGGAGAAGTCTTTGCTTGCAATCCTGTGGCTCCATTCTGAGGATAAGAGTGGAACCAAATTAGATCAGTTTTGTTTTAGTGGAGGAGAAGTGTTAAAGAATTGTTTGGTCAACTGCATCAATAACTGCAGACACATGAAGGATGATGAGAAGGTATAACATCATGGTAGTTAGGAATAGTTAGGTGTTTGTTTTTTGTCCTGTGTAGTAGACTTGCTGGACAAGGGACCTTTCTCTGTGCTGTAGACATCTATTACTCTATGGTCACATTGACATGAGGTGAATTCATAACTTGATTAAGGTGATGGCAGGGGAGAAATATTACAGAGGAAAATGGGAATAGCTCTTGGAGGTGAAAACACCTTGAAGGACTTTGGACAGGAACTTTGAAGTTGAAGAAGGGGAGCAGTAGTTGAGGAAAGGTAAACAATTAGCAATGACAGCTCGTATGGTGATTGAGGGAATTTGGATGGTCAACAGTTTATTGGAATGTCATCAAGGGAGTAGAAGGTGTGCCTCATGGACAAAAAAGATAGGCTAGAGGTTGTCAAAGACAGAGGTTTCGGGTTGAGGTAGAGGAAGGGAGTTTGACTTGACAGGCTGACTGATGTAGCAGATGCAGCTGAGCAGTTGGACAAAGTAATTCATAAGCTGCTCACATAAGGGCAAGGTGTTTCAGGAGATAATGGTAGAGAAAGGCTGGTTATTAACTTTGCTCTCCAACGTAATCCTGAAATAGTGAGCAGTTTTTGCAGATAGGTTTGAAGCCAAGTAGCATCTGATATGGTTCTGCTTGACCCATTTTTGAATAATTAATTCAATTTGTATACGAGCTAATGCTGAAGTCTGCACCTGTTGGATTTGAGGAACGTGGTTAGGACAAAGAATGGAGTGAGAGACAGTAAGGACTGAGGAAGAGACTATCAAAGATGAAGATGGTGGAATATAAGTTTCAAGAAGTGTGAGCATCCATCTTCAATAGTTTTGTTTCTTGTAGCCTAATGTTTTGCCCAGCAGATTAAGGCATCACCATACAGTTAGTTCCATAAATATCATGAGTCATATTGCTTAAGGTTTAGCCTGGATTGCAGATACTGAACCTTCACACTGCTGTTTTAATGGTACATCATAATATTGGTCACATTTATTATTTTGACAGGTACTCCAGGTGTTGGAAAGACTACCCTTGGTAAAGAATTAGCTGGAAGAACTGGATTTACATACATTAATGTGGGAGAACTTGCAAAAGAAGGTGAACATGAATGGGAAAAAAACTATTTCAAAATATTAATATGGTAATTGCTGGATAAAATGAGTTATCATATAATCTAACCAGTTTATACTTCAATTTCATTTGGCTACTGGAATTGTCTGCTGTCAGATCTTGTACAAATCCACTTGTTCGTGAAAAAAGATTGGTAATTCTGGAGAGCTGGACTCGATAATACTGCTCAATAGTATATGCTGTTAATCTTGATTAACGTGACTGTCTGTCTGTCTGTCTTTTAATTTCTTGACTAATTTTCCACACATTAAGGTACAGTGGAATATTATTTATCATTAGGTGATGGAGCTTTTTGAATCCAAACAAGATGTTAACCCAGTACTGAATTTTTGAGAGTTGCAGAAGGGATTTTCATAATTCAAGTGAATTCTTCTTGCCTTAGTATTATCAAAAGGAATGCATTTATTCACTTTCAAAATATGTAGCAGTTAGTAAAGGTCTTATGTTTGCGTAGAGATTTTTTTTAGATCTGCAATTCCAGGATGCAAAATGTTAGTAAAAGCACAGGGTGATAAAAAATATTTGTGTTGGATAATACAGGACATAGCTGATACTATTTTCATAGCGATTCTCACACCTCTGCATCAGTTTATCTGAGCAATGCAACTGCCTAGTGGTATTATCATTGGACTATTAATCCAGATGTTCTGGGACCCAGGTTCAAATCGAGCCCTGGCAGATGGTGAAATTTGAATTCAATAAAAAAAATCTGGAATTAAGAGTCTAATGATCACCATGAATCCATTGTCAATTGTTGGAAAAACCCACCTGGTTCACTAACGTCCTTTAGGAAGGAAACTGCCGTCCCCGCCTGGTCAGGTGTATATGTGACTCCAGACCCACAGTAATGTGGTTGACTCCTAAGTGTCCTCCTAGCCTTGAGAGATGGGCAATAAATGCTGGTCTAGCCAGCGAAGCCCTCATCCCATGAATGAATAAAAATTTCTTTTGTCAAGACTTGAACACAATGTAGTTGTACAAGTAAATCAATAGACATTTTGCATTCGGCAAAACAATGAAAAGTAATAATCACTGCTCAGTCCTGTCATTTTTTTCAGGGTTTTATATATTTTTCATACTGCTACAGTTATATATTTTGCTTCCACAACACTTGCAAAGTGTGTGTTTAATGTAATTCAACTGATTGAAAATATGATGTAAACTGTGTTGTGTTTCTAATGTTCTTGTAAAGGTAATCTTTATGAAGGCTATGATGAGGAATACTCGTGTCCCATTCTGGATGAAGACCGGGTGAGGTTGCGATGTACTGTAATGCAAAATAAATTTGAACAAAATAATTTTTCCATGTCGATTCTTTTGTTTAGATGTGTAGTTGCTGCTAATTTTATAGTATCTCCTTGAGATTTTGGATTCCGATTAAATTGATCGGGTTCATAGAGCCTAGACAGCTATACAAACTTCCAACGACCTTTTTCTGATTTGGATATAGTTTGAGTGGGGCGAAATGAACTTCTTGATGCCTAAGCAGACATTTTTTTTTACCTGTTCTCAGCTCAATATTTAAATATTTAATGACTGTCTCTTGGTTTATGACTATATTTAAAAATATAGGAGTCAACTAAAGTTCAATTTGGAATTTAATTTATTTTCCTTCATTCATTTACACTTGGAATATGGTGTTCAGTTCTGGATACCACACCTTGTGATGGCCATATAGGCCTCAGATTTAGTACAATGTATAATTACTAGAATTATATCAGAATTCCAAGGAGGAGTTTTACACAAATTAGGGATGTATTCCTGGGAAGGTTATGAGGTGACTTGATTGAAGCTTTCAAGATATTGCAGGGAACTTGTACAGTAGAGACAGACAAACTATTTCTGCTGGTTGGGAAATCTAAAGAGAGCCTAAAAATGAGAGTCAGGCCTTTGCAGGAGCAAAGTCAGGAAATGTCTCTATATATAAAGGGTAGTAGATGTTCTAGCCGCTGCTCTGTAAGTGTCAGTTGAAGCTGAGTCAGTTTTTAAGTTTTTTTCCTGAGATTGATGTCTTTCAATGTCTTAGATTAATAGAAATCTGTGGGACAAAGTTTGGCTTATGAAGTCAGGTCACAGATCAGCCAGGATCTCATTGAATAGCGGAACAGACTCAAGGGGCTAAATCATCCACTGTTATTCCTATAATTTTCTTTCTTGCCCTCCTCGACCAAATATATATTTTAATATATTTCAGCTCATGATGTCAGCTGTTAAAATTTTAATCTTTCACAAGAATAAGTAAATCCCTAACATATTCTTGTCTCGCAGTGTATGCGATCAATTTCTGACCTGTTTATTTTTAGATCATGCTCCAGTAAGTCAAATGAATTACTGGTTTAAAAAAATACTCTGCATGATGTATTAATGTGATGACCCCCAAGTCTGTATGTTGTTTTTTTGTTCTGTCTCCCTTTTTTATCTTTGTTTGTGCTTCTGCTTGTCAGCTATGGCTCAACAGGCTTCAGCAACACTTTTTAGTGCATCTTCCAAGTGGCCATTTTGTGCCATCTGTGTGTTACATTGGCAGGAGTAAAGATCCGTCTGGAGTAAAGCTGTTCAGTGCCTTTGCTCAATATCCAAACGGCGCAAGTAACTGGATAGTGGTTATAGAAACATAAGATAGGAGCAGGAGGAGGCCATTCAGCCCTTTGAGCCTGCTCCGCCATTCTTCACGATCATGGCTGATTGTTCAACTCAATAGCTTAATTCTGCTTTCTCCCCATAACCTTTGATCCCATTTGCCCCAAGTGCTACCTCTAGTCACCCCTTGAATACATTCAATGTTTTGGCATCAACTACTTCCTGTGGTAATTCCACAGGCTTATCACTCATTGGGTGAAGAAATATCTCCTCATCTCCGTCCTAAATCGTCTACCCTGAATCCTCAGACTGTGACCTGTGGTTCTGGACACACCCTCTACCAGGAACATCTTGCCTGCATCTACCCTGTCCGGTCCTATTAGAATTTTTGTAGGTCTCTGTGAAATCCTCCCTCATTCGCCTGAATGCTAGCAAAAACAATCCCAACCTAGTCAGTCTCTCCTCATATGTCAGACCCGCCATCCCTGGAATCAGCCTGGTAAACCTTTGCTGCACTTCCTCGAGAACAAAAGCATCCTTCCTTAGAAAAGGAGACCAAAACTGCACACAATATTATAGGTGTGGTCTCACCATGGCCCTGTACAACTGCAACAACACATCCCTGCTCCTGTATTCAAAACCTCTCGCAATGAAGGCCAACATGCCATTTGCCTTCTTTACCACCTGCTGTGCCTGCATGCTTACCTTCAGCAACTTGTGCACAAGGACACCCAGGTCCCGCTGCACACTCCCCTCTCTCAATTTACAGCTATTCAGGTGCCTCCTTGTTTTTGCTTCCAAAGTGAATAACCTCATTGATTTATCCACTCACCCATCCTGTCGAAATCATGCTGAAGGATCCTTGTCACATTTCACCCTCCCACCCAACTTGGTATCATCTGCAAACCTGGAGATGTTACATTTTGTTCCTTCATTCAAATCATTAATATATATTGTGAATAGCTGGGGTCCCAGCACCGATCCCTGTGGCACCCCAGTAGTTACTGCCTGCCAATTTGAAAAAGACCCATTAATATGATCAGAAATTTGCCGAGTTCCACCCCATCCACCAAACATGAAGACATTAAGATTAATTTTAACACCACATCGTGCTCTGAACTCAGTGCAGATGTGGAATAGACTGGGATTATACTCATTGGAATTCAGAAGAATGACGGGAGATCTTGTAGAAACATTATAAGATTATGAAGGGAATAGATAAGGTGCAGGCAGGGAGGTTGTTTCCACTAGCAGGTGAAACTAGGACTAGAGGGGATCACCTCAAAATAAAGGGAAGCAGATGTAGGACTGAGGTCAGGAGGAACTTCTTCACTCAAAGGGTTGTGAATCTGTGGAATTCCCTGCCCAGTGAAGCAGTTGAAACTACCTCGCTGAATGTTTTTAAGGCAAGGCTAGATAAATTTTTGAACAGTAAAGGAATTAAGGGTTATGGTAAGTGGGCGGGTAAGCGGAGCTGAGTCTCAAAAAGATCAGCCATGATCTTATTAAATGGCGGGGCAGGCTCGAGGGGCCAGATGGCCTACTCCTGCTCCTGGTTCTTATGAACCTGTTCACATTGCTAAGTGAAATATTTATCCACTCATTCATTGAAGGATTTTTTTGTGAATACTATTACATGCTGAGCTTCACCCAGACACAAATGTTTTACAGCACAGTGATAATTCTACTGTTTTAATTTTGAGCCAAAATTTCCGTATCTGTATCTTTGCACATGTGTAAGCACCTGTGTGTGTTTGTTATCAATTATAGAAGACTCATATGATTTTAACTTCTAGAATAATCTGATTTTCAGGTAGTTGATGAGCTTGATGATAAGATGAGTGAAGGTGGGATAATTGTGGATTACCATGGTTGTGACTTCTTTCCGGAGCGCTGGTTCCACATTGTGTTTGTACTTCGTACAGATAATTCAATTTTATACGACCGATTGGAAAACAGGTACTAAATGTTTAACATGATATTTATGTTCATTTAAAATTCACTTTAGTCTCGGTGCACATTTGCACTGTTTACATAAAAGTCTTTTCCTCTTTAGCCACATAGAAAAAAAAATCATCCTACGGACTCAGTATTTTTCTTAAGGCCATGGAACAGATAATTGTACGTAATGGTAAATAATATTGTTTCCCAGACACTGGCCATCTTCCTGTACCTTGTTCAAGTGGCTAATAATTTTTCAGCTCTTGTTCTGCATGTCAGCAGGCTATATGAACTCAATGGTAAATTCAGTTGAGCTCAGTCTTGTTTTTAAACCCAGTTTTCACACAAGCATGTTTGGGAGACTCTGCTGTGCTGGATACCAGTCAGGAGAAGGGACTGTCTTCACCCTTCTCAACCTGTCTTCTTCGGTTGACACAGTTGACTGCACCAACCTCACCAATACTTCTTGGTTGTTATCAAGCTGGGTGGGAGTGTGCTTTCTTGATTCCCTTTCTTAATCATCTAATCATAAACACTTGAAATGGCTTCTCATCCTGCTCCTTCATTACTCCCAGTTTTGTACCAACAAAACACCATTAGTTCCTCTCCTCTTTCTCATTCATATGCTGACAAAACCTGGTTCTTCCTTAGTGCCACATCTTTAGATTCCTGCACTGACTCTAAAATGTCTGACTACTTGATATCCAGTTCTGGATTAACAGAAATTTCCTCCAGATAAATTATTCAGAATGATGAAGCCACTGTCTGCAGCCCTCTCCACAAACTGTTTGCTAACCAATTACTCCCAACCCTCTCCCTGGCAGCCTTACTGCCATATTTGACGCTGAGATAAAGTTGTGACCACGTCCATCACCAAGACCACAGATTTTCACCTCAGTACTTTTGCCAGATCCAGGTCCTATCTCGAGTTACCTGCTGAAACCCTCAAGCCTACCTATGTTACATCTGCACCTGTCTGTTCCAATGCTTTACTGGCTGGCTTCTCATGCTGTACCCTCTTTAAACTTCAGATCTCCCAAAACTCTGGTGCCAGTGCCTTAACTTGTACTAAGAGTGATTGATATTCTATCACCTTTAGCTCACCAATGTTCATTGGCTTTCTTTAAGCAACTCCTAAATCTCGGAATTTCCATCCTTGTTTTCAAATCTCCCATTGCTTTGTCCCTCGATGTATCTGTAACTTCCTTTAGCATTGTCCTAGATAATCGTTGTGACCCTCCATTTCTAGTTTTTCAAGTATTTCCAATTTTAATCATTGCACTATTGGCAGCCATGCTTTCAGCTATCAAGGTCATAAACAGTAGAATTCCCTTCTGAAACCTCTCTTCCGACCTTTAACATGTTCCATAAAACCTAACTCTTTGACCAAGTTTTAGTTCATCTATCCTAATATTTCCTAATGTGACTGTCAAATTTTGTTTCATACTGCTCCTTTTATGCGGTTTGGGATGTTTTACTCTGTTATATGGGCCACATAAATGCAAGCTGTCTTGACGTTACTTTTTAATCATTTTTCAATGCCAGGTATTTTGATGTGCATTGTAGTATTTCTGCTCCTTTGTCTGAAATTAGGTAATACAGCACAGACTTTAGATCAAATCTGAGACGATAATTGGCAAGGTTGGATACAGTGGCTTAATTTCTGTACTATAGGAAATGACAATTGACATTTGAATTTACTTTCAGGAGTTACAGTGGAAAGAAACTTGAGGACAATATACAGTGTGAGATTTTCCAGACTATATATGAAGAGGCTATGGAGTCGTATCAGGAGGAGATTGTCCATCAGTTACCCAGTAATATACCGGAGGACCTGGAAAGAAATTTGGATCAGATCGTACAATGGATTGAACGGTGGATGAAAGATAACAATTGAATTTTGGCAATTATAAATGTCCTTGTGCTAAGAAAATGGACTTGCGTACAAATGCCAAATGTAATCTGACAAAATTGCGGATTTTCTTTGAGCTGTCTTTACAGTGGTATTTTCAGCAGCAGAAGAACAAAGGACTTTTAGGCTATATAGAGATTTAATTAATTATCAGATATTTACATTCAAAATTCAGTGGTGCACATTGTATATATTTTGCTTATGGATTAACATTTATGAAGACAGACTGTATTTTTTCATTTATAAATCCAGTGCCTATTCTAAATGAACTACTTATGTAGATAAGACTTTAAAAAATGATCAATGCATAAAATATTGTACATTGAGAACAGATACAAGTTGCAGAAGCTTTTCATCAGGACAAATGCAAGAAAGCCAAATTTACACCAGCTGTATTCCCAGTGCTTCGTTCGTGGCAGTGCCTCGACTAACCAGAGTAAACTTGCCAACCAATCAGAATCTTTTTCTCCCGTGGTGTAAATTATTGGTTGTCCAAATTTGGCAAACTTATGTTCGTGCTGACAAATAAGTTCTAGACGTATTCAAGATACATATTCCATGTTTCCCTTTGAAAGGAGAAAGGCAAGATTAATTAAGAACGCTGAGGTATTAAACTTGAACAGGAAAGCTTGATACAATACTGCACCAACGTGAAAAGGTGACTGAGTATTTGTTCAAAGTAGATGTAACCATTCATTCAAATTTAATATGTTTTAATTTACTCACTTGGTGTTAGATTTTAAATTAAAATCAAAATAGTACTCCATGCATAAAGTACTCATTCAATTTTCTCTGTTCTAATTTATCAACTCCAATAAAAAGAATTGGTCATGACTCCTCGATAATGTATATCACTGCGTTATTTGGCTTTTCCTTTACTGTTTTTCCATTAACCAGAAGGAATGTCCTGATGAATTAATTCAATAGGTTCAGTTTGATCTATTTCAACACTGTATGTTGTCCTCAAGTTTCTTTCCATTGTAACTTCTGAAAATAAATTTAAATGTCAATTATCATTTCTTATTGTACAGAAACACAAGACACAAAAAGTCATTTTCTATTTAGCAGAAATGTAAACTTTTCAAGTTTAAAAGTTTGGAATAGTGATATCAAACTGACTTTGATATTTCTAGAACAAAATGTTCAATAGAAAAATTACAACAGGCATGATTTTTTTTTTAAAATCCCCCTGCCACCATATTCTTTTCGGTATTGGGTCTGATCCTGTTCAGGTATCAGGTTGGTATGTGAATTGCTTCAATTAGCTGAGCTGCAAAGGAAGATAAAAAAGATAAGTTTACGGGCAGCATTCTTTTTCCCAAGGGAGAAGAATTTGTTTCCCTTTGTTACTTTCCTTATTCATTTATGACTGTCAGACTAGAGGATTGCTAAGGCTATCAATTTGTTAACACTCCATACCTCTTTGACTACAGTAATGCTGCGGTTATGTTACTGCATGTAGTAATCCCAAGGTCTAGACTAGATATTTTGAATCCAAATCCCACTGATGCAGATTGTGAAATCAGTTTCAAAAGGTCTAAAAACAAAAGTCTTTTCACCAGTCAATTTCAGCTGCTGAGCTAAGGACCAAGGAGTGGTTAGCGGAGTTACCTGCAAAGTGTGATTGGGATTTTAGGTGAGAATGAATTTGGTTTGAACCAGACTCTTAGTTTAAAAAAAGTATATGTCATTTTGGAAACTCCAACTGGATGTCACACACATTGCTAAATTTGTGTAGCTTAATAGAAATAGTGGTGTTAATAGAAATAGTCTTCGAGGGGCAGAATTTAGGCAATTATTGGAGTTCACTTCCAGTTTGTTACAGGAAAACCTGACTCTATGTTGCTTATTGGTGAAGAGGCAGTTGTTGTTGTGTGTGGATTTCAGACTTGTTAATGATTGTAGAGTTGAAAGTTAAGATTTTTGTTCAGACTCTTCCTTGCTGTCTGGGACTTACCTGGAAGGACGTCACGTATGGGGCGGGGCGTGTTCGGATCACGTGGTCTCCGCCATTTGTATTTCGGGAGAAGAGGCGGGAAAATCTGACCGGTCGTGCAGGTGAGAAGGGAGCGATCGGCAATGAGAGTTGGGTAAAGGGAAGGGAGGTGTTTCTTTTTTTATATACCAGGCGGTCTTTATTGAGGGAGTCTCCGACCCGGTGTAGTAATGTTTCTGTATGTGCACAAGTGTCTGGAGTATGTAGACTGCTCAACAACTTGGTTCTTCACCTCCTCCCCACCGGCCTGTTACCAAGATACAAAGTTTTATTTGTCCAATAAGGCATTTGTTATCATACCTACGTACACAGTTAAAGTACTCATTTTTGAAGTCACCTGTCGGTTTCCTCTACATCTGGCATCGAGACAGATTGGTCGATGATGTAACCAAATTGTTACCGACTGTTTGGAGTGAGATTTGTGATCGTCAAGTAAATCGCTCAGCCTTTCAGATAGAAAGACCTGCAGGTGCTGGATGTTTTTTTTTTCCCTGAAGAAGGGTCCCAACCCGAAACGTCAGCTTTCCTGTTGCTCTGATGCTGTCCGGCCTGCTGTGTTCCTGCAGCTTCACGCTTGTCAATTGCTCAGCCGTTTATGTTTCGGGGAGTTGAGGGTAATGAGTTGGCACGAAAGAGGAGTTGAGGCTCGGCGTAGATTAGTCATGTTCTTTCTTGGTGATGTTGGCTTGGGAAGGGCTGATTAACTGCTTTTGTTTTAAATGTTCTCCTGACATTGTTTTGTGCAGTTCCAATGGCAGACTCTGAAGATCAAATGCTTCATTTTGTATTCTCAAATATATAAAGCAGGATGCTATTTTATACTTTGTCTGGACCGATGAGAGGACTGTTAACTACTTTGACTTTATATTTAACTAATTACAGGGAATTTTTAGGTTGGTAATTCAACCCCTGAAAGAAGTTTTTAGTTTAGCTTCAGTACATCTATTTGACAACTAGGATAACTTAAAATGTGCTCTTTGTACCCAAATGGAAAACTAAGTGAACTTCTATGTAACAGTTGATAACACAAATGTAATTTATCATTATTATCTTATGAAAGATATTTCTAAGTCTGCAACATGAAAGAACTAGTGTATAAAGGAAGTATATTCTAAGAATTTTAGGATGAAAGCAAAGGGAAGAACCTCAATTGGAACTAGTAATTGTCAGATTCCTGCTCTTCCCCCACCCTATTTCTATGAGAAAGAACTGGCCACTATGCTTGTAATAATGTTTACAACTTTGGTGTCCAACTATCCTTCTAATTTCATACTTTGACTGTCTAATTCCAAACTTGTTCTATCACCCATCTCCATTCAAGCTTTAGCTGTTTTGTCACCTTCATTCTGATTCTTTTCTAATTATTGTCTAAAATTTGGGAAATCCAAAAATCTGCCAACCCTAACCTACATTTTTAAAAATTACAAGTACGTTGAGATTGTTTTTCCCACATTAAAGGCATTGTGAAACTTCAGTTTATTATAATTCTTATTTCACTTGGACACAGAGAAACAGGAATGTAGTCTCTAATGAGAAGATAGCCATGGTGTTGAGGGAAAATAGTGTGTTCAAGCAGAATTATCTATCTAATTTATTGATCTTGCTTACGATTCCCACATACTTCCTAGTTAAAACAATCTGTGCTCAAATCATGATGTGATCGTGCTTCCTATCTGTCTGTAACCTGCTGTGGTTGGTTTTCTTGCCGAGCTGGTTTGTTAGTCTGCAGACGTTTCATTACCCTGCTGGGTAACATCATCAGTGCAGCCTCCAATGAAGCGCTGTTGTGTTTTCCCACCTGGTATTTAAATTCTGGTGTCTGTTGGATTTGATTACCTCATTTCCGGTTTTCCTTCACTGTGGTGTATATATAGGGTCTAGTTCTATGTGTTTGTTGATGGCCTTCTTGGTAGACAACCAGGCCTCTAGGAATTCCAGTGCTTGTCTCTATTTGGCCTGTCCTAGGATCCTGGTGTTGTCCCAATTGAATTGGTGGTTCTCCTTAATTGTGTGTGTGAGTGGAGATGCGTGAGTATTGGTCGTGTCTTTTTGTTGCTAGTTAGTGTTCATGAACTCTTGTGGCCAATTTTTTTCCTGTCTGTCCAATGTACTGTTTGTCGCAGTCCTTGCATGGAATTTTGTATATTATGTTGGTTCTGTCCATAGTGGGTAAGGGGTCTTTGGTTCGAGTTAGCAGTTGGCGTAGGGTTGACGTGGGTTTGTGTGCTACTCTAATGCCCAATGGTTGTAGGAGTCTTGTGGTCATTCGGATATATTCTTGATGTATGGTAGCGTGATGTGTATTAGGGCATGCAGTATCTTCCTATTGTTGTTCGTGTGATAGGCATCGTCGAGTCCAGTTTGTTTGGGTATTCATTGTCCTTAAATACTTGGTGGAGGTACTGTTCTTCTTTTTGGCATAGTTCTGGGTTGCTAAATTGTGTTGTTGCTCATTTAAATAGTGTTTTCATGCAACTTCGTTTGGGGTGTTGGGGTGGTTACTGTTAAAATTCACTACTTAGTCAGTGTGTGGCTGTTTTGTGTGCCTTCGTCTGGAATTTCCCATTGGTCCTGTGATCTTCCCGACGTCCAGGAATGGGAGCTGTTCATTCTTTTCCTCTTCCCTGGTGAATTTGATGCTGGTGAGAGTGTTGTTTATTAGTTGGCATGTCTCCTCTAGTTTGATCCGTTTGATGACGAAAGTGTCGTCCACATATCGGATCCATAGTTTAGGTGGGATTTGTGGAAAGGCCATGCTTTCGAGTCTCTGCATCACCGCTTCTGCTATCAGTCCGAAGATAAGTGACCCCATGGGTCTCCCGCTGATCTGTTCGTGGTTTGGCAATTAAAGGTAAAGTGGGTCATGAAGCATAGGTCCAGTAGTTTCAGCATTTTGTCTGTGGAGATGATGTCAGTCTGGTCTTGTTTTTTTCAGTAGTGTTTCTCTTGCCAGTGGTATATCAATCAATGTGAATAGGGTGGTAACGTCAAATGACACTATGGTCTCGACATTGTCTATTCTTATGTCCTTGAGGGATTTGAGGAACTCCTGGGCTGAGTGGATGAAGTTGGGTGACCTGCTGACGAGGTGCTTTAGTCTTCCTTGTAACTCCTTGCCTAACCTATGTGTTGGTGTGCCTGGAAGGAAGACTATGGGTCTAAGGGGTACTTCCAGTTTGTGTACCTTTGGGAGACTCTAGAATCGGGGAGTGTTTGTCCCTTCTGGTTTCACTTTTAGATAGTCCGTTTTGTAGATTTGTCTGGTCTGTTTGAGTCTCTTTAGTGTGTAGATTATTTTATCTCTGATATGTCTCTGATGTACGGTCGGGTGTCTAGTATGTCTGGCCATATTGTGTCTTCTCTTTGTGGTCTGTCGCGGAGGTAACAGTGGATTGTGCTTCTTGGGTATCCATTCCTTTTTAAGAACTTTCAAAGCACAATCAACCGTTACCTCCAGGACAGACCACAACAAGAAGACACAACACAGCCAGACACACTAGACACCTGACCATGCATCAGAGATGACCACAAGACTACACAGACCCCTAGGTATCAGGGTAGCCCACAAACCAACAACCATCCTGCGGCAGCTACTGATGAATGCAAAAGATCCCATTCCCACAACCAATAATACTAACGTAATAGACAAAATACCATGCGAAGACTGTGGAAAAACATTACATAGGCCAAACTGGAAGAAAACTGACAATAAGGAAATATGAACACCAACCCACCACCAAGAGACATGACCAATTCTCACTGGTCTCAATACACACGGCCAAGGAAGGACACAAATTCGACTGGGACAACACATCCATAATAGCACAAGCCAAACAGAGACATGCCATGGAATTCCTGGAGGCCTGGCATTCCAACTGGAACTTCATCAACAAACACGTTGAACTGGACCCGATATACAAACCACTGAGAAACAGAACCAGGAAGTGATGCCAACCACCCCAACAAACTGAGACACATAAATAACAAGCGGGACAGAACGCCAACACTTCATTGGAGGCGCACTGACGATGTTACCTAGCTGGGTGGTGAAACATCTGCAATCAAACGCGCCGGCTCAGCAAGCAAGTCTACAACCTCATCCACAACCCGAGCTACAAATCTTCTCAAAAAATGTTTGACCTTAAGTTAATGGAATATGTTAGATCTCCATTGAAATGCCAAAACTCATTTCATTGCTTTTCTTGTTGGGAAGATTTTTGGCAATATTTTGTTCTTGTGTTTCTCTCTTATGCTGTTTGAAGGCTGCCATTGTGTTTATTTTTGCTAGTTATCTTCTGTTCGGAAGAGAATACATGCAAATGAATTCTGCTAGTGCATTGCATCGTATGCAAAAGTAGGTTTCTTGTGCAAGGCCTTGAAGACCCTGGAGCAACCTTGTGATGGTGACATAGCAGTCCTTACTGAGCACAAAGAGCATAGTTTGCACTGAGTTCGGCAGGAAGAGAAGCATAAAGAATAAGGCAGAAGCCTGAAGTTGAGCTATGTGAATGGTAGAAGCACGTGTAAAGAAGCATGTGGACTAGACTGATTAGTCTTTAGGTGGAAAAGTTTGTGGAATAGTCTTTCAATAATCTAAGACTCGAGCCTAATATGTCTCTGAATACAATCTAGCATTTAGTCTTAGTTTGTAATAAACACTTAGAGAGAAGTTTATGCATGATAGTTCTTGATCATTGCCTTCTCTCAAACTCGTGGAAATGGATAAAACCATACAACAGTTGAGCTTAACATGTTGTTATGTACTGTTATTGATGGCACGTAGATACAGAATGTTTTATTTTCAAAGGGTTTGAACTTGCAAAAGTGCTGTGATGCTTAAACTTGACAATTATTTTGAAACCTGAAGATCAGGAGAGTATTGCTTATAGTTTCAATGGAAACTGGAATTTTGTTGTGTATCTGAGCAAATCAAAATTCTCATTTTATTTTCACTGGTTGACTGGTGATAATTCCATTAAAGACACCACTCTATTTCCTCACCTCACCTATGCTTTTAACATCACTTGCTGTTATTAGTAGTTTAGTACCTTTAGATATTAGCTGGTGATGAACATTATGTCGGAGTTGGAAAGGATTAGTGAAGTAAAATTGTGGTGTAAAAATTATTCAGATCGTTGACAGTCCCCTGTTAAAAGGCAGAAGGATAGTTTTTACATTGCTGTCATCCAAATCAAACAATTTACTAAAAAATATGTGCAGTAAAAAAAGCATGAAGTTATCAGAAGCTGATGTCAATAGCGTGCTCAGGGACATGAGTGTGATTTGTGAAAACCAGAATACAGGCAGCAGAGTTTCGGGTGAGCAGGGGAGCCATGAAATTGTCAACTTGAATCAAAGACATATGGATTTGAGATACAGATGAATGTGAAGCAGGTTCAGAGGAGGGCAGTGATAAAAGGGAGCAGTAGAATTTCATCATGGTAAAAATGTGTGTGCGTTGGAAGCATAGTTAATTTAAATCTTTGCTTAATTTGAAGCTTTTTTCCTTTTGTCTCACTTGTTTGTATCTTAGTTAACTGCTAAATTGGAGTAACAGACACAGACTTGAGTTGATTTAACATAAATATTGTGAATTAAATTCCAAGTGTGTTGCAGTATTCTATTTAAAAATGCAGTGAAAACTCCAATCCACATCATCTTGATGGAAAGGTGTATGATAAAATTGTTAGCATTCACCTGTAACTCCTATTGAGCTGATAATTGTGCAAAAACAGATGGCAGGCAGCAGAGATTGGAGAGAATATTAAAAACAGCTAAGATTGACTAAAATATTACTGAGAGGGGGACATTGAAACGTTACCTCTGTTTCTGCACTGAATTTCAGCACTTTCTGCTTTTATTTCCATTCTCTAGCGTCTGTAGTACTTTGCTTTTATTAGTACTTTGGAGTTAGTTTTTGTTGAATCTCTGAAGGCAGATTGTCAGCTTAACACAATACCAAGTAACATTTTCGTAAATTATATTATTTTACAATGTATTTGTTTTCTCCATGTTCCAGATTTTTTTTCTGCAGTTAGTTTGGCAGCTAAGCTGTAAAACGTCTAATGTCTGAAAGACACGAATCGCAGGTGAAAGCAGAAGAGGAGGATGATATGTCCTGTGGAGACCTGGGTGATGGCCTTTGCAGGAAACCTGGTGGAATTTATGAACAGGCACCAAGTTCGACTGCTGAGACCAGAAGATCAAGACGTGGATCAGATGTCGACGACTCTGTTTTTAGTAGAAGTATAACTGAGGATGAGAAGAATGCCATTACATTTTCCCACTGGACCAAGTACAGCAACCTGTACAATTCATTTCATAAACTAAAGACTTCTGATGGGACTAGTATGAGCAGGCGGTCGAGCAGCAATGGTAATCATTAACAATTATGCATAACTATAAAAGATCAGGTTTGATAAACTGAAAATTTAATATGTCTCTCTGTTTCAAATCTATTTTTGAATGACATCTTATTACTTTGGATATAGTGATCATAATGTTTTTAAACCTTTTTTTGGTTGAAAACTCTGGCTGGTAGTTATTTGTACTGTTTAAGTGGAAAAGTTCAACTTCCTGAACATTTTATAACATGTCATTTGTTTAAAAGATTCAAGTAAAAATCTCCTGTCTTAGGGGATGGATAATGGACTACGAAAGGATGAAAAAAACATTTATATACACACGTAGAATCGATGTGCTGATTTTGAAAGAAATAGGATAAAAGTGATCTATGAAACAATACAGTTCTTTCCTTCAGAAAGAAAAGCAATTTAAATTAACAGATGTTAGAATACAAATTAAGATTCTTTTTCCTGAAGAATTTAAGAAAATTTATGATTATCCAATTGTTCATGACAGCATTGGGTGAAAATTTAGGGGTAAGAGAGAAATTAAGAACTTTTTCAGAAAAAGATAATATTCATGAGATATTGAGGCAGAAATTTTACGTGTTTTGAGTCATTTGGTCTAATGGAGTGTGTTGAGATTGAAGGATATGGTAAGAAGGTAAATGGATAAAACTGATCTTTTTAATGAAAGGGCATGACTCTTGGAGCTAATTACCTTATTCTTAAATACCCCTGAGCGTGACTTGCCTTCATCTCACCAACCTAAGGGTTTTCTTGAGCATAATATACCATAACTCTATTAAATATTGAGTTTAAAAAAATGTAATATTTGTCTTCCCTTCTAGTAACTTGTTTTTATTTTGGATCTCCTTTATTCCACACTGAAGGAAGAACAAAGAATATTCTTTTGGGACTATCACTATTTTCATTTTTTATTTTTGAAAGCACTGGCACTTAATTTAGATTAAGAATTGAACTTTGAACAGCTACTTGCTTGAATGAAGAGAACAAAAGCAAATGTTATCTGTTGGGAACTGGTCTGGAGAGTAATGCAAATTAATTACTATACTAAGGACTCTAGACAGATTGGCATTGATCTGTTTCTGTGCTCAGGGCTGGCAGCTGTTTGGATCTTGAATTAGTCAATCAAGGGACGACTAATTTAGCCAGCCAACCACAGGGGGAATGTTGATTTAAAAAGAGGGAGCCAGTTCTAACTGGGTTTTATTGCAGGAGACAGTGATTTTAGAAGCTTCCAGACGAGCTACTCTGTTTTGCATTCTCTGGTTTCTCTCCAGTTATTGAATTGTTGAATGTTATGAGAAAAGAATCCTAGGCCGTAAGAAATCCATAAATATTCCTGAGTATGCTGAAGTTATTTGCATTAACCTATGACTTCAGAATTTGAGCAAGATACACAGTTCTGCATGCCTGCGAACAACTCATTGTACAAGGATTTCATGAAGGTCTGGTGTTCATCATTTGAAACTGTTTAATTTAACTGTCAAATTATAGTTCTTTGATTTTTTTCTTTTTAATTTATGCCGTAACTGTGCCTGCCTGTATGGCAGTGGAGTTATGGTCGAGGAAACATGGGTTTCGATTTTGTTGCTTTTAATTAGATTGTTGCCTTGTTCATTTGTGATTCTGCTTAAATTTACATTCTTAATGTAAATAATTATTTTTTTGTTGAAGTTACCAACTTGGTGTCCGTGACCTGTTGTTTGTCAAGTCTGGTGTGAAGTCATTGGGCAGTCTTGAGGGTCATTGAATATTTTAATTTTATTGACTTGCAAATCCAGTAATTGTGAGGCTGATTTGGTTTCACTTGCTATCCTGTGTTGTAAGACCACCTTTGCCAGCCTTTTGTCTCAGAAAATAGTTTGGAATAATGTGACATTAATACATTATCAAATAATGGGAAGCATCCACTAACATTCCTAGCATTAAGACAGCTTGCATTCAAAATTCACAACAGCATTATTAAACATAATTTGCCCAAGGAGACATTTGGGATAATGACAAGAAGCTACGTCAGATAGTGCTTTTAAGGAGCGTCTTCTCAATCTATCCGCAGCCTTTGACGTGATTCAATACATTATCGTCCTCCGCTACCTCACTTCTGTTGTCTGTCTGTCTGTCTATGTGGGACTTTTCTTGCCTTGTTTAAGTCTTATGTCTATTATTAGATCCGGAAAATCACTTGCATAACTTCTGTTCCTGCTCCTGCATTTTTAATTATTATGTTTCAAATGATCAGTTGTGGCCCTGTCCTCCTCCTTTATTCAGGTAGCATCCTTGATACTGAACAGTGGGCAGATTAAGAAGATGGGCCGCAAGTCTACTTCAGCTGGAACATGGATTGAACCCTCCACTATTGGCATCATTTTGCACAGCATGATGTCTGACCAGCTCCTATTTCTGATTTACCTGGTGTCTCTAAGTAATAGTGTGTAAAAGCACGGTGTTCTCCCATGAAATCTTGACAACACCAAACTCTACCTCATCACTACTGCTGGTGGCTCCTGTGGTGTTGCTGAATTTTCCCACAGCTTCTCTGACTCCCAATAATAAGTTAGGTATTGGGGAAGGCATTGTTGTCCACAAAAATACAACACGTGAAATAAACAATCAAAATTGCACTTGAATCAAGGTAGCAAAAACCGATGCTTAATTAACAACTTAGAAAGTACACTGAATAACATGGATTCATTTGACCTCTGGACAAAGTTAGAAAGCAAATGAAAAGCTCAACTTCATCTGAAATATGTTGCCTTAAATAGTGCAATGTACTATGTTTTCCTGCAGGCTCACAAGCTGAAATCTCAAATGAAGAGTTAAAAGTAAAGCTTCAGGAAGTTACGAAGGTAACTTTTTTTCAGTTGGGAATGATTGATTGTATTTTGAATAGATTTTTTTCTTTATTCTAAAACTTATGGAGTTTTGTAACAAACAAACTAAGTATGATGGCAGAGATAACACCATGTGGAACTGGAGGAACACAGCAGGCCAGGCAGCATCAGTGGAGCAGGCAAGTTAACATTTTGGGTCGGGATCTTTCTTCAGAAAATTCTTCAGATACCTGTAAATTTCTGAAGAAGGGTCCCAACCCAAAATGTTAACTTTCTTGTTCCTCTGCTGCCTGGCCTGCTGTAGTCCTCTAGCTCCACATGGTGTTATCTCTGACCCCAGCATCTGCAGTTCTTACTATCTCTAAGTATGAAGGCAATCTTGTAAAATGTACTGAAGAGGAGAGACTGAAAATGAGATTAAATACAAACACTGGACATTTTGAAACAGTTTTAAAAAATATAACTTGCTGCATTTTATTTATTCTATTTAAGTTTAGCAAATTTACAAATTAGATTAGAAAAATCAACTCTGCATTTGAAACTTCATTAGAAGTTTTCTAAGTTTGTGAAAATCTGTTCTAAAATTATTTACATTGTAAAGTTGCTTTGAGGCCGGATTAGTATTTTTAATATTTGATGGAGTGAAGATAATCCTCCTCAACTTAGTTCATACTGTTGTTATTTCTTAGTTTAAATATGTGGAGAAATCGATACTAATGCTTTAGAATTGACAATTTTAAGAAAAATATTTTTCCACCGATGAGTATCTTATGAACAGTTACATGGTGGAGGGGTGGAGGTGGTTATTATGTAGCAGTAATGATTTTGTAATTCTATTAAAGTGTAAGTTCAGATGTACATCATGATGGAATGTTTATATTCTATTGTAGAATGAGACAGTAGTAGTGCATGTAACTTTCCTTCTGGTTGAATGTACGCAGAATGATTATTATGGATCAAAATGTTAACCATCAATCCAGCATTGATAATTTGATTTTAAATTTTTGGTAGTTTAGTCAAAGAAGTGTAACTTGGTGATTACTTTCTAGTTTTGTTTTTAATGTAGGAAGCAGAATTTCTACGATGTGAGCTTGAAGTAACACAGCAGCAACTTGAGGGAAAATATGAAGCATTAAAGATATTACAGAGTATGGTGAGATGCATGCTAATGTTACTACTTTCAAACAAATGCCATAGTCAAATGCTTTTTATGGACCAGTACAGATTAGTCAGTATGCATGCAGTAGAAAGGAAAGCTTGATGTATCCGTGTAGTCGTCCTCAACCCATAACTGATAATTTAGCATTAGCATGAATTCAGCTTTCACTCAAGTGAATACTTTTATTACATTTCGTTGGAAGTCTTTTTAAAGTATCTGTTTCACTGAATATCTGATTCCAAAATTTGCATGTGGAAGGAAAGCTATGCTGTTGAAGATACCTGCAAATGGGTTTTTCTTCTTAAACATGATGTGGGCATCAGTAGCCAGACCAGTATTTATTGTCCATCCCTTGAGAAGGTGGTAGTGAGCTGCATCCTTGAACCACAGTAGTTTGTGCGGTACAGGAACTTCAACAATGCTGTTGTGTAGGCAGATCTAAGAAATAGTGATGGTTTTAAAGTAGAATATTGAAGCTTCAACAGTGAATACCTTGAGCTCCTAACTGACTGCTTTTCACAGGTGCTTGGGAGCTCCTGATTATGCACATATATTGATCCAGCAACAGTGATGGAATGGCAATATATATCCAAATGGGCATGGTGTCACTTGCAATGGTTACTTGGATGTGGTGTTCCCATGACATTTCTTCCCTCCTTAGTGGTAGAGAAATTAGTGTTTGTTGAAATCACATTTGTAGAGCACCCTATAGGTTGTGTACACTGTGACAACAGCATTCAGATTGAATTCAAGGGTAACAGTCTCTGTCTTGAAGGTTCTTGAACTACTTTCGGTGTTGATGAAGCTACACCCATCCAGTTGTGAACATTAAATCATTGAAATTAAATGATGGCCATGATCTAGAAAGGTAATCTTAATGAGGTGATAAAGATTTAAGGTTTTGCCCCGAGCATGTATATTGCTCAGTTCTGTGAGTCAGCTGTTCAGAAGACAAGTTTTGGAATTACAGAATTGTGTGCCAGAGCCACAGCTGGCCAAGTGAGCCAAACTCTTGAAAAACCAAACAAACTAAAGGGACAAAATTTCTTCTGTCTATAGTTTTATGTTGTTCATTTGACAGTTTTTTTAAAAATGAGCTTTTGTTTTAACAAGTGTAGCAAATAATGATGCTCTGGTGATGCACTGCATTTGTTTATATGTACTTACAATTTTACCACTCAATGTTTATCAGGCTGTATTTGATAAAGCTACTGCACATACAAAGACATTACTTCAAAAAACAGGTGAACGAAACAAGATTTTAGAGAAGGTAAATTCAAATATTAATTTTTCACCAATTCTTCTTAATTATTTCAAAACAGTTACATTCCAATTTTAAATCTTTGTAAAATGGTCCTAAAAAGTACCTAACTTGATCATGTTAGACAAAGGAAACTTTGACATATTGCAAATAAAACATATACTGCAATTCTCTTCATTTTTTTTCAAATACAACTTATTATTTTTGAAATTATAACAATTTGTGCACACATTTGTTAATATAACAATGTTTAATGTATGTCATTCTCTCTATGTATTCGACTCGGTGTAACCCAACCACTTTTCCACTTATCCACCATGATAATATTTACGTTGGTGACTTTTGACAGTATCACAACAGCCCAAATGTCATCTCTAAACTGTGTTTCAGCTAAATTTTCTCTAAATTGGATAACTGTTTGGAATCTTCCCTTCCTTCCTTTTCTCGAGTGAGTTATTGAGAGCATTTTTTCATTGTAGTTTGATTAGGGGAGCAACATCAAAATGACCTGAGCGTGTTATCATTGTGTGTTTACAAACAAGTACAAAATCAGATTTCAAAAAGAAAGTCAAAAGAAGGGTAGGACCAATTAATAACAAGAATTTCATCTGTAGACACAAAGGTCACGGCTGAGTTACTGAATAAGTACATTGCATTTGACTTCATGAGAGGGTGCTGCCAGTGTCACAGAAATAATTACAAGGTATCAGAGAAATTAGATCTAAGTGAAGAAAAGGTGCCAAAAAGTATTGGTAATGATCAAAGCAGAAATCCACATAAGATGCGATCTGGGTGTTAGGATATTGAAAGTTTCTGGCTGCAATTTTCCAAACCTCCTTGTTGTATTCCCGTCTAGCTAAAGGGGAAAGTGCTAGTAACTGTATGAGAGTCAGCCTAACTTCAGTGGTACTGAAACTTTGAGATAGTAGTACAAGATGAGATTAATTGGCATTTTGTAAAATTGCTTAATAAATGAAAAGCAGCAGAGATTTTTTTGAAAGTCAAATTGCATTTGATTAATTTAGTTGAGTTCCTTGGTTTATTGGAATGCCTTGATGAGGCTTGCGAGGTTGATGTGTATATTGAACCGTTGGGATCAAAAGGAAAGTGATTCCTTAGTACAAGATTAGCTAAGGGACAAAAACCAAGGAGTAATATTGAACGCTCCAGACCCGAAACGTCAGCTTTCCTGCTCCTCTGATGCTGCCTAGCCTGCTGTGTTTATCCAGCTCTACACCTTGTTATCTCAGACTCCAGCAATGGCAGTTCCTACTATCTATGAGTAATATTGAACGGTTGTTTTTTAAACTGGAGGCAAGTATGCAGTGGTGCCACTGAGTGGCAGACGTTGGTACTGCTGCTTTTTATAATAAATGTGATTCAGACTTTGTTAAGCAGGGTGCAGTTTTAAAGTTTTGAGATGATGCAGGACTCGAATGTTTTGTGGAGAGTAGTAACAAGACTTTGAGCATGTATTTGTACAAGACTTTGAAGGTAATAGGACACTGGTAACATGGGAAGACGATGGCCTAGTTTATTATTGCTGAACTGTTAATCCAGAGACCCAGATAATGTTCTGGGAACCTGGATTCGAATCCTGCAGCAGACGGTGGAATTTGAATTTAATTTTAAGAAATCTGGAATTAAGAGTCTAATGATGACCATGAATCCATTGTCGATTGTTGGAAAAAAACACATCTGGTTCACTAATGTCCATTAGGGAAGGAAACTGCCATCCTTACCTGGTCTGGCCGACAGAGTTAAATGGGCTGCTTTCCTTGGACCAGAGAAACTTTGGGGAAGATTTGATAGAGGTGTTCTAAATCATAAGTGGGTATGATACTGAATATGTACATGCTGGAATACTGATTCAGTATGTGGATATTGTTCTGCCTGGCAAATGGTTGATAAATACAAGAAATAGATTTAAGGTGATTGGCAAAAGAACCAGTAAGGGGCAAATTGTTTTATACAGAGAGCTGTTGTGATCTGGAATGTGCTGCCTGGTTGAGTGTTGGAAGCAGATTCAGTCATAATATTCAAAAGGTGGTTGAATAAATTATTGACGGGGAGGGGGAGAGAGATTTGCACGTTGGAAAGAGTTGGGGAATATGTCTGTTTAATTTTTAAAGCAAAAAGAGCAAATCTAAGCCAGAACAATTCATACTGTCCTTTGACAATGAAATTTTTAAAACTTTCCTAATCTTTTCCCAACTTCTATTATCAGTACTTGACTGCCTTTAACCAGTAAAGTAAAATTGTATGGTCAATCTACTTAGATCATTCTGAAAGAGGTTTCAGATGCCTTCTACAATTTATCTTTCAATGAGACGAGAAAATGTTTGTGATGTCTTGTTAACCTTTTTTACAGCAAGTGAATATATTACAGTGGGAAAATGATTTTAAACAGGATAAATTTAAGAATTTGGAACAGCTCTGGATTGGAAGATATGATCGGTTAGTGGACTAATTATGAATACAGCATATTTGCAGTGCTAGTTCATTGTATTATGCAACATTTGAATCATCTCGGAGGCCATTGAGTCTCACTGACCGCCGAAGAGCATCCCACCCTATCCCTGGTACCCCACATTTATCATAGTTAATGCATCTAACCTGCAAATCCCTGGATACTAAAGGAGAAACTGGTATGGCCAATCCACCTGAGCACATTTTTGGACAATGTAATAAAACCTTCCTTTTGAGGAGAACACAGTTTTTTTTCAATTTAAAACTAGCTAGTCTTGGTTTCCCTTATGACTGCCAATAATGCTTAGTTATTTGGTGTATCCTGACTGTACAGTGTTTTTGGGAGGAATACTTTGCCACATTAAAATGGTTCCCATGAAAACAATAAGTACAGGTTGGGGGTTAAATTTAAGGCAACTTATTTATGTTTGAGTTCTTGACTGCTATGATCTTTCCATGCTTCTACTCATTTAATCCCATGAACATTCGTTCTTCCTAAGGTTGAGTTTGGTTTCTTCCTGCTCATTTGAATCCTTATTTTTCTGGAGGTTCTTGTTAGCGCCCTATACAGTGAATTCCTTGTTGGTTGTACGGTAATAAAGATAGTGTGGCTCAAACCCTAAGTTTGAATTGACTCACTAGCTGGCTGAAGATTGCATAAGGTTGGATTCTTCAGGTGTCCACTGGAGTTAGAAAATCTTTGCAATTATCATTTGTCTTATAGCTTTGCATATACTTACTTTCCCCATTGATTAAAAGCATGCAGATTTTGTGTGTATTTTTGAATCAAGCATTGTCCTTAAGTCAGGTGTGCAATGATTACAAAGTCCACAGTAATGGATTTTTTTTTGTATATTGAGTTCCTTTGTTCGTGGACAGTGGGTTGTGACCTAGCCGATTAAATCTTTTTCTCTTGTTTGTTGCGGATTAATTACCACTTTTTTGGTCCTCACTATCCCGATCACTTGACTTGCAGTAATCTGTGGAATTTCCCGAGTTGAACAATGAGTTCTCTTTCCCGCTCCAGTTCTGAGCATCCCTTTCTCTTCCTTGTGTCTTGCTATCCATTGACTTTCTGCTTAGTCAGGATTTGATCACTCATTGAGTATAGTATTAAGAGTATCTTTGCATTGTCAACCCTTTCTTTTTATGAGAAATTCTGTTCTGAGCTCACCAGCGCTTCAGTATTTTTGGAGGATTTGAGGTTGGATCATTTGTGGATCATTGGAGGTTTGCCTTCCTTTTCTTACCTTCTGGTGTTGTTGTGTGGATAATGGCTAGATTTCCATTCATAGTGCAGTGTATTTCTAGTTATGTTTTTCCAATTTAGGAAGAACAAGGTTGTATCTGAGATCTTGGAGGGTAATGGGTGCTCTCTGCTAGAATTGTCAATCTAGGAGGATCATCATTCTGTACTGGACATGCCAATTTTGAATGGACAGTATGGTCTGTCAGTGGCCTTGCACTTTCAGTGGAGTTCTAGGTATGAGTCTGAAAAAATGGAGAAATTTGTGTAATTGGAAGTGTCCACCTCAAAGCTCAACACTCGCATCTATTGTCTGGAAGTTGTGCATACACTGGCAAAGCTTTTGGATGTTACAAGTGTGCATGCATGTGGATGAGTGTTGAATGGGTCCTGTCAGGTCTTTGTCTAAGACAAAAAAGATCTGAGGATGTTCCTGATGAAAAATATCAGCTTTAGTTAACCCCGCGCCCGCCCCCCGCCCTCCAATCCCCACCCACACCCAATACGTCCAGGAATGCCAAAGATGCATATCTGAATTTGCAGAGTTGTCTTAGCTTTTCCGAATTTGAATTCTTATTGTTTATTGCTACTAGGGACCATTCACTGAGTTTTTGCTCTGCTACTTTTAATTTCATATTAGAGGGTTTTTATTACTTGTGCTTTCAACCGAGTCATATGAAGTGTAACTGCCTGAATAGTTCTGAATGTGTCTCTGTTCGCATATCCTGGGCGGATCTCAAACCTACGAAATTCTAATAGGAATTGTCAGGATAAACACAAGAAGGATGTTCCCAGTGATGGGGGAGTCCGGAACCAGGGGTCACAGTTTAAAGGTATGGGGTAGACCATTTAGGATGAGATGAAATTTTTTTTTCACCCAGCGAATGGTGAGCCTCTAGCATTCTCCGTCACAGGAAGTAGTTGAGGCCAGTGTCAGTCCTGTCCTCCACAGGAAGCCGTCTTATAAACCAAAGCATTCCCTCCACAGCCAGAACATCATCCTTGGATAAGGAGACTAAAACTATGCACAATTCTCCAGGTGTGGTCTTATCAAGGCCCTGTACAATTGCAGCAAGACATCCATGCTCCTGTACTCGAATCCTCTTGCTATGAAGGCCAACATACCATTTGCCTCTATCACAACCTGCTGATTCCTTGCCTTCAGCGACTGATGTACAAGGACACCTTGGTCTTGTTGAAGATCCCCCTTTCCCAATCTATTGCAATTCAGATAACCTGCCTTCCTGGTTTTGCGACCAAAGTGAATAACCTCACATTTATTCATGTTATACTTCATCTGCCGTGCATTTACCACTCACTCAACTTGTCCAAATCATATTGAAGCATCTCTACATCTACCTTGCAGTTCATCCTCCCACCCAGTTTTGTGTCGTCTGCAAGCATGAAGATATTACATTTAGTTCCGTCATCTAAATCATTCTATCACAGTACTAATATCACTAGTTCAATTCTGAGTTGTTTTCTTTTTGAAGTGTCAAATAGTTATTAATGATTTTTAAAGGCAGCTTGTTTTAAATTGTATTTTCGCAAGTGTTTGCATACAAACACAACGTCCTTCAGGTTTCCTTTTCTTTACAGGATGTGTATTGAAAATGGTGAGCTTTCAAAAACTTTGGAGGCAAGAGATAGTGAGATTCGGGATCTCAAATCAGAAAATACGAGTAAGTTTTTAGAGCATTATTGAACTGTGATGAGATGAAAGACCTCTTCATCCCACCATCAATCTGGCATGGATTCAGATAAAATTCTCAGAAATAAAAATCTGGTTATGTAACTAACTATTGATATAATAGTTCTCAAATGTTTTGGTATTTCTTTTACTTCCCTCTAATTTCTTCTGCTCACTTGGACTGAATCCCAACCACCGCCAGTGCTGTGGTGAAATTAGGCTGGGCTGGTTGATCTGCTGTATCTTGATCATTATTAAAGTGCACATCCTGATGTTGAGTAGTGTATTGCAGCAAACCATGTTCCTGCTCCCCACCAGCATTCTCCCGGTGAATCATCTTACTCAGCAGATTAAGGATCAGGTTTAAAACCTATATTAATCTCTGATGCTGCACTTGTTTTAAATTTCCTATTCCTTTTTGAACCAATACGCTGTAGCTCAAGGTAACAATGCTTTTGGGTACCATGACTACTGCTACGTTGCGTCAATGATTACTATTCCTCAGTGAACCAATAGCATTTTATCCCAATCAGATTTGGGAATTAGCAGAGCAATCTTTTGACTTTTCTACTGTCATTGGAAAGAATTGGGTAATGGCAACTTTATCATTTTAAAGAATGGCTTTCTGGTCAATTAGTTATTTGGAATAGTGCCTATAAAATCATATCAATACAAATGCAAATATTGTGTTATATTCAGTTCATAATCGAACTGTTTTATAAGTTATTAAACCCTGTCTAAAGGTCTGTCTCAGTGATTGGATTTGCAAACCTTGAAGGTTGATCTGTGGCATCTTTTCGTGTTTTGACATGTTTGCTGTGACACTTCAGATACAGACATAATTGTTATACATGGCCCATTATATTTTGTTTTTTTTTCCAGTTTTGAACCAGCAGTGTTCAGAGCTACTTGCAATGCTTGATGCAAAGGATCAGCAGACTTTCCAAAGAACATTGCCAGTAAATAAGAAAGACTTCACTGAAGTTACAACATTGGAGGTAAAAATCCAAAAAACCCCCATACTTACAGTTTATACTCTGTTTCCATTCTACGTTTACATTGTAAAAGATTCTGGTTGATCAGTATATTGCATTTTTCCAATTAGATATTAAACAGATTTCTTGATGCTTGAGCTGGCGTTGGAAGAACCTTCCATGTTTCCCCTGTGATTGAATCCCAATTTTGGATATGCCATTTAGGAACGAGTGCAAAGGCAAAATTGTTCTCTTGAAACAGTAATCAATGGGAGTGCTAACTGCAGCACTAGCTGAGATTTTGGATCCAATTTGGCAGTCTGAGGTGGATGAGGCTAAAAGCAGGAGAGAAATAAAAAGCAGTGTGCAAAAAGGGCAGCATGGTGGCTCAGTGGTTAGCACTGCTGCCTCACAGTGCCAGGGACCCAGGTTTGATCCCACCCTCGGGCGACTGTCTGTGTGGAGTTTGCACATTCTCCCCGTGTCTGCGTGGGTTTCCTCCCACAGTCCAAAGATTACTTGAGAAAGGATGTATTGGCACTGGAGGGGATGCAAAGGAGGTTCACTAGGTTGATTCCAGAGTTGAGGGGGTTGGCTTATGAGGAGAGACTGAGTAGATTGGGATTATATTCATTGGAATTCAGAAGATTGAGGGGGGTATCTTATAGAAACATATAAACTTATGAAGGGAATAGATAAGATAGAAGTAGAGAGGATGTTTCCACTGGCAGGTGAAGCTAGGACAAGAGGGCATAGCCTCAAGATTAGAGGGAGCAGATTTAGGACTGAATTGAGAAGGAATTTCTTCACCCAGAGGGTTGTTAATCTATGGAATTCCTTGCCTAGTGAAGTAGTTGATGCTACTTCAGTAAACGTTTTTAAAAAAAGGTAGATTTTTTTTGCACAATAAAGGAATTAAGGGTTATGGTGAGAACGCGGGTAAGTGGATCTGAGTCCACGAAAAGATCAGCCATGATCTTATTGAATGGCGGAGCAGGCTTGAAGGGCCAGACGGCTTACTCCTGCTCCTAGTTCTTATGTTCTTGTGTGCAGGTTAGGTGGATTGGCCATGCTAAATTGCCTGTAGTGTTCAGGGATATGTAGATAGGGTGGGTCTGGGTGGGATGCTTTGAGGTTCGGTGTGGACTGGTTGGGCCGAAGGGCCTATTTCCACACTGTAGGGATTCTTCTATGAAAAGCAAGGACTGTCAGATTTTCACTTCAGGAATTTCTCCTGTTGTCCCGTATAGTGCTGTAGAATCTTTTGAGTGCATTCAGGCAGACAAAGCTTTGATTTACCACTTTATCTGAAAAATATGACAATAGAATAATACAGCTGTACAGCATGGAAACAGACCCTTTGGTCCAACTCGTCCATGCCAACCAGATATCCTAAATTAATCTAGTCCCATTTGCCAGCATTTGGCCCATATCCCTCTTAAACCTTTCCTATTCAAATGTTGTAATTATACCAGCCTCCTCTGGCAGCTCATTCCATACACGCATCACCCTCTGCTTGAAAAAGTTGCCCCTTTGATCCCTTTTAAATCTTTTCCTTCTCACCTTAAATCTACACCCTCCAGTTCTGGATTATCCCAACCCGGAGAAAAGACCTTGGCTCTTCACCCTACGCATACCCCTAATGATTTTATAAACCTTTACAAAGTCACCCCTCAGCCTTCGATGCCCGAGGGGAAAATAGTCTAGCCTATTCAGCCTCTCCCTATAGCTCAAACCCTCCAACCCTGGCAACATCCTTGTAAATCTTTTCTGAACCCTTTTGAGTTTCACAATATCCTCCCTACAGCAGGGAGACGAGAATTAGTTAGGCCACTTTTGGAATACTGCATTCAATGTCCTGCAGAGCCGCAATATGACCTCCTAACTCTTATACTCAATGCACTGAGCAATAAAGCAAGCAATCCAAATGCCTTCTTCACTATCTTGTCTACCTGGGACATCAGCTTGAAGGAATTATGAACCTGCACTCCAAGGTCTCTTTGTTCAGCAACGCTGCCCAGGACCTTATCATGAAGTGTTTAAGTCCTTTGAATTATCTTTCCAAAATGCAGCACCTCACATTTATGTAAATTAAACTTCATATGCCACTCCTCGGCCCATTGGCCGATCTGATCAAGTCCTGTTGTATTCTGAGATAACCTCCTTCGTTGTCCACTACACTTCCAATTTTGGTGTCATCTGCAAACTTACTAACGATACCTCCTATGTTCCCATCCAAATCATTTATATAAATGACAAAAAGCAGTGGAATCAGCGCAGAGCCTTGTGACACGCCACTGGTCATTGACCTCCAGTCTGAAAAGCAACCCTCCACCACCATCTTCTGTCTTCTACCTTCAAAATAGTTCTGTATCCAAATTGCTAGTTCTCCCTGTGTTCCAGATACTTGCCTAAATGGTCTGTGGTGGCTCCCAGTCAAGCAATATTTTGGATTTAAAGATTCTCATTCTTCTTTTCAAATCACTTCATGGTTTTGCTCACAACTATTTATGTTCTCACAACCGTCCTCTTAATCTCATTCTGGTCTTTTGCAAATTCCTGATTTTAATTTTGGCAACTTCAGTTGCCAAAAGCTTAAGCTCCGACATTTTCTGCATAACCCTTGTCTCTTCTCTATCTCAATTTCCTCTTCTCAGACTGTCCGAAATCTATCATAGCTGGTGATCTGATATAATATATCCTTATGTGGTTTGGTGTGATATTTTGTTTTACAACATTCTTGCGAAGCACCTTTCAGCTGTGCCTACAGATGTTAGCCAGCTTGGTCAACAGTGTTACACCTAAACCATTCTCAGTGACGGAAATGTCCATCCTCCACCCAGACTCCATTCTATGCCAAAGGTATCTTCAGTGCTTCCTCCAAGTGGTGTATAACATGGAGAAGTACTGAATCATCGATCAAGAGAGCACAGATGTTACCTTGCCCATGTTTGTATTGATGTTCTAGTATTTCGTGGGGTTTGAAGTTAATTTTCAGAACACCCCAGGCCACTCCATGCTGATGGTACACCACTTACCACCATCTCTGTCGAGTTGGTCATGCCGAGGCCTAGTGCTGAACTGTTCTACTGTAGCTTTTTGAAGAGATTGCGCAATGCTTCAGATGGAACAGTGGTGAAAGAGCCAGGGCATAAAATTGTTCCCAGTGCTTCAGCATTTACCTTCACTAACCTTCCAAGACTTGACAGCAATGGCAGAAGGCCAAAGTTTGATTCTGTGTAGAACAAGCTGCCTCCAGAGGTGATATGTTGCAGCTTATTACTATTGCTGAATTGAGGTCAGAGACCCAATTTTGGGTTATCCACGAGCTCTGGCTTTCAGCACAGGCTTGAATAGCCACATTATGCCATAAGGATCTAGTTTTTCAAAACTGCTGCTCTGAAAATGGATTTGAGGTACAGCTTTTCATGGCTAATCACAGTCTTAACAACGACATGGTGAGCACTATTACACTTCATTTGCTTTCTTTAGTCATTATTGCTGTTATAAAAAAAAGGTGTTTTTTTTTTTAAAAAATGCTTTTTATTTAACCTTCCTGTGTTTTTGCCATATTGCACACCATGACATTCTTGGCCCCGCAGCATTTTTCTCTAACCCACTTCCCAAGTGCTTTTAAACATTTAATTCTTTTGCAACAGCTACTTGTTGCTTAGACACCAAATTCATGGGATTTCCGTTCATGTGTACAAAGGAATGCAAAATTATCATAATTCACACGAATGTTCTGGTAATTTAATTAATTATGTGGTCTGGGCAACAGACTCTACCAGTTTAAGAAGAGAAATTCAAGTGGTATAGCAAAGCCTTCGGTCAAGAGTACTTAAAAGCATTGAAGCTGGTTGAAATTATTTTCCTTTAACTTAGCACCTTTAGGTTTGATTGGGCCAAGATAACTATTTTCTCTCACTGTCATCTGTGCTCGCTTTTCTTTCTACTCTCAGTTCTTTGTCAAAGAGTGGGCCTGTTAGACTATTATGTGAAAGTTAATTTATGACAGTCAGTTGGGTGTGGCTACACCTGCCTAGTATCAGGCCAGGTCGTAGCCATAGAATCACTTGGAATGACTTCCCTTCTCACTCCCATATTACCCTCCTAGTGTTTCTAGAAAATCTATCCTTCACTTTATTTTTCATCTATATGCTACCCCTCAGCGGAATAATCCAAAATCGTGTCAGTTTTCACCACGACCCGACCTCCCCACCTCCTCTCTTAATTCCTCCACTGTTGGGAAACCATCTGAGGATTTGCCCAACTTTCAGTCCTGGCTGAGCAGACATTTACCCCCAGTCTGCTTACTTGTGACCACAACTTTGAACAGGCTTTTGGCCATTTACCCTAATGGCACCTTCTGTGCCTCAGTGTCTGACTAAAGCTCAAATAAAGTGCTTTAGGGCGTCTTATTATATTAAAGATGCTACAGAATCATAGAATCTCCACAGTGTGGAAGCAGACCATTCAGCCCATCAAGTCCATCCCAACCTTCCAAACAGCATTCCACCCACCCCTCCCTACTCTATCCCCATAACCCTGAATTCACCATGGCGCACCAACCTTGCCTGCATATCCCTGGACACTGTGGGCAATTTACCATGGCCACCTAACCTGCACTTCTTTGGAAAGTGGGAGGAAACCCACGCAGACATGGGAAGAATGTGCAAACTCCATACAGACAGTCGCCTGAGACTAGAATCAAACCCAAGTCCCTGGCGCAGTGGGGCAGCAGTGCTAACTATTGAGCCACCGTGCCACCCACTATAACTAGATATTTATAAGTTGTTTTTTCTTTTGAGGATTTATTTCACAAACTCCACTTCAAATCTTACTCCACCAAATCAAGCAACAAATGAAGTGGTGAGGAGTGGACTGCCCTGCTGCTCTGACTAACAATAATTTGCCATCTTACTGTGTTATGGGATTCCAACCTGTATTACTTGCTCCAAAATTATCTGCACTGGAACCTCTTCACAAGGACCTAGAACCAAATCTAATTTGACTTGCAAAGTTATCCTTGCATGATTCATATCAAAAAGACAACAATCAGATCAAATGCACAATGGTGTTGGTGTGTACTGTCAACATTATGTATAGTAACAACTTAGCAGGTTTCTTTAACAGCATCTGCCAAGCTATCTACTATCTGAATTTGCTTTTGGATTTCTTGGTGACTTTCTCATACTGATGGCTCTTATCTAGATGTGATTTTTCAACAAGAGGAAACATTCTCTCCATATATACTCTTAGCAACCTGAAGCACAAAAAGAAAAGACTTGGAATAAATGTGTTGTATTGGCAGTTTTCCAAACCATTTGGAGCTTTACCAGAATCTAAGGATTATCAGAAGACTACTTCCAGTGCATCCACTATCTCTGCAGCTACTTCCTTCAGAATATAGGGATGCAAGAACTCTGAGTAGAAGTGGGCAATTCAGCCTGTGGGGTCTGCTCCACCATTTAATACAATCATAGCTGATCTCATCTCGGCCTCAATTCCACTTTTCTGCCCACTGTCCGTAGCCCTTCAACCCATGACTAACTAAAAATCTGTCTTTATCCTCCTTAAATGTACTCAATGTCACAATATCCACCACACTGTGGGATAGTGAGTGCCACAGATACACAACACTTCAGAGAAGTAATTTCTCCTCACCTGCTACCCCTTATTCTAAAATGATAACCTCTTGTTCTATACTACCCCAGAAGATCCTTTAATTTCCTGAGATATATCCCATCAGATCTAAGAGCCTAGTTTGTCTAGCACTTTTTTCTCTAATGGTAGTTATTGTCTATTCACTCTCCTTTTGCCTCTTGAATATTTAGTAATTTTATGATGCTGGTCATGTCTTCCACTGTGAAGACTGATGCAATGTATTTATTCAACTCCTCTGCCATTTCCTGGGTCTCTTTTTTTTTATATAGTGCAGCCTCGTTCTTGAAGGCGCCTGTGCTCACTTTGAAAAGGAAGACAGAATTCATATATTTAAAGCAGCTTTTAACATAACTTTGACAGTGAACTTGCAAGTAATCTTCTTCCTCTTTAGTATTGACTTGGTCATCTTTTGGTTTTTAAAAGTGTCCCACTCTTCTTTTTTACCACTAATGTTTCCAACATTGCTGTATAGAATAGTATACTATTTCTAATAGTATACTAATAGTATTATATTTCATATATTTTCTTTCGGTCTGATGCTATCCTTAACTTCCCTGATTAACCATAGTTGATTTATCCCATTCCTGGAAAACTCCTTCACTGGAATATGTCTTTGCTATGAGCCATGATCTAATTTTTTAAGAAAAGTTTGCCATAGTTCCTCAACCATCTTTGCTGCTAAAATCCTTCCTCAGTCCACTCCAGCTAGTTCATTTCTTTGTAATTACTATTATTTAAATGAGAGGAATAATCCCCAATTTCCATGCCTTGTGCGTGGAAAAGGTGCATCCTGATTTCGTTTTTAATCTATCCTCCCACTAATGTTGAAAGGAGTCTAATGATGACCCTATCCTGGACAAGATGTTCTCCAATGTGTTCATTGTTATTGGGACCAGTTCAACTGATATATTTGCCTGGTTTATCTCCACCAGTCTTCATGATGAACAGCCTGAGAAGACTGTCAGTTTTCTTCATAACCTTTTCTTAAATTTTATATAATGTTTTGCAGGTAGTAGCAGACAAAACACTGAATTGAAGTGTGCAGTTTCACTTCCCCTACTCCCCCTCCCCTAAATACTGCAATGTTTCCCTTTATTGTTACTTTTGCCATGCTTTCATCATACCAAATCCTGAAATGTGAATATAAAAATTGACCGGTTGAAGGACAAAGTTAAAATTTGTTAAAAGGGCAAATTATGATTCTGGAGATTCCTTGGCCTTTATGCCCTTTGTGTCTTGGTCACAACCCAACTACAGCAGTTTTGAAAACTGCAGAAAATTAAGCGCTAGTTATGAACATGGCCACAATAAGCACAAGTTTCAGTGAATTTTTACATACATTTATCAATCTCTTCACCCTAATGAATTTTCATCCACAAATTAGATTGCACCTCCAAATCAAGTTCAGTTCATTGCAACCACGTATTCTTCTGGTGCTTAATTGCGTTTGTACCTCCACTGAACTTTCTATTTCCTTGAATAGATTTTTATGGCTTCTCCAATTGAAAGTTGCTGAATCTGCATAACTTTTCAAATCATTTTAATAATTTATTTTTCATACTTAAGAAACAATATTTAGGTTTGGTGCTTTCCTTGGGCTCTGACTGTTTATGCTACTTTACACCTTTTTAAAGTTCAAGCATACTCTAATGCATTTGGGAACATATTTGGGTATAACTTCATAGCCTCAGAATAGGCCCAACAATGGGCTCTTTTGCAAATCTGATCTCCAGGTTGTGTCTAAGGAGGAAGCTCCAGATGTGGAGCAGGGAAGTAATAGACCTTAGAAAAGTGATGTTTCACACGTGAATATAAAATGCAGCCTGATTTGATCATTCTTTCAAGTAAAAGGTCCTAAATGATTCTTCAAGTCTTTCAGTACCACAGAACATAATTACCATGGTAATACTGAACCAAAAGTAAAAGGCTTAGAGGCTATCATACTTTTCTTACAAGTCAACTGTTACCTTTTTCTTATGAGGTCTTTGAAATGGCTACATTGAAAGTCAAAGTTAGAATTTGCATGATGTGGTTTAGCCCAGCTGATTTTGCAGCCTGTATGAACTTGGGCATATCACACCAGCACAATGGTGTCGTACTGAAAGAGTTCCAGGACATACTTTACTCCCTTGTGGCAGCCTAGATTATGTGCATGTTCTGCAGTGGGGCTTGAATCCACAAACTTTTCACTCGGGTGAGAGTGCTATCAGTTACTTGATAAGTCAAACTGATACTCTAAGAATTATTTTTCCAGGTGTATCTTCTCCTTTGAGTTGATATTGATGTGGCATTTTTGTTTTGTTTTGGTATGAGTTTTGTTACAAGCTATCTGGGGAATAGTTTTGACACAGTAAACAAACTGTTCACATTTGGGAGCCCTGCATTAGATCATGAAGTTTATGCAGTGTTACAGAAATACAGGAGGAATTTTTTTGATTAACATCTAGTGTTTATATTTCAGCTGACTGAACGTTTCTATTAATCAAGATTTCTATTGTTGTTCAGCTGGGAGTGCTTGGAGCATGTCACTGTATTGGTACTGGAGGAGAGCCCTGTTCTTGTGCCAGGATGGCAGCTGCCACACGGAAACAGCTGCTGCAACAGAAGCAAGAGGTACATTCTTTTTAACTTCATTACTAGGATTAAATAACTTAAAACGTGATAAATATGTCCACCATGTATCAATTGAAATTAATGCTTTCTGCCACAAATAATTCAGATTCATAATGCATTCACTGTGTTGGACTGTGAATCTAAAAATATTCAGAATCCTTCACATTATAATAAAGTGCTTGTTGGAGTCAGGTCTTATGTAAACAAAGATTTATCTGCAAATGATAGGTGAAATTCCTTGGCACTCTTACTGTGCTGTTATACCTCTTAGAAGCTAAGTTCATCTCTGAAAATTTAAAAGATATAAACAAGGTTTCTGCGAAGTTACAGTAGCACAAGCCCCTGAGGAATTTCATCCATTTAATATCATCATAGATCATAGAATCCCTACAGTGTGGGAAAAGGCCATTCGGCCCAATAAGTCCACACCGAACCTTGGAGCATTCCCACCCAGAAACATCCCCCTGTAACCCACCTAATCTACACATCCCTGAACACTATGGGCAATTTAGCATGGCCAGTCCACCTAACCTGCACATCTTGGACTGGGGGAGGAAACCGCAGCACTTGGACGAAATCTATGCAGACATGGCGAGAATGTGCAAACTCTACACAAACAGTCGCCCAAGGGTAGAATCGAACCTGGGTTGCTGGTGCTGTGAAGCAGCAGTGCTAACCATTGAGCCATCGTGCCACCCTAACGCGTAATCTGGGCTTGTCTGGGATTTAAACCCGGGACCTCTCACATCTCCATGCTGTACGATTCCCCAAAGCGAGAATCATACCCTGAGACTAATGAGCCATTGCCAAGTAAGTGCTGGCAGCAATGCAAATCTTCATTTCACTCTTCAGTGACTGTTGGTCTAAGATGGATAAATTATATCTGTAATGAGTGCATAGAAGAGCTATTTAGTTTTTGAAACAAGTGATTTTCATGGGTATGAAAGATTATCGGGAATGTGCAGGAATGTAGAGTTGAGGTTAAAATTAGATCAGCCATGATCTTATTGAATGGTGGAGCAGGCTCAAATTACCAAGTGGCATATTGTTGTACCTTGTTTGGATATTTATGTTTATACATGGTCTTTTATTCAACTCTTTTAACTTAAATGTAGTAGATTAAAGAGATGATTTTAAAGAATTAATATCACAGTTTTTTGCTTTGTTTTTGAAAAGGAATCCTAGAGTTCTGTGGTACTAAGTTGGCATATGACCCAATGAACTGTAGAAGGGATGATGATCAGCTTTATGAAGGTTGCATAAACCAGCATTGTGTATTGCACACACTTAAGGCTTAACACGATTGATTGGAGGAAGTAGCACCTGGAATTTTGCCAAATTTATGACAAATATAATTGTATTCATGCTGAATTCCTAAAAATTGCTTTTCCCAATTGAGGGATGTATCTCTGTTTAACATCTGAAAATACCCAATTCAGTTTCACTTGTATGTATCCAAATGTTGTTAGTTAACTGTTTATAGCTATTGGCATGCATACAACAGTCAAGTTTCTTTCTGCCCCTATGCAATATTCAGGACAAAGCTGAGAGGTAGATTTGTGACAGAACAAGAGTTCTAGTATTGTTGCTTCATATTTCCAGCTTGTTTCTTTTCTAATGGCAATTAGGTTGTAGCTCATTAAACAGTTGGTGATCAGTAAATCAACAGTTTTGGACTTGAATGTCCTGACATCAAAATGTCTGGCATATTTGAAATTGGCTGGCATAGTTTTACAACTGGAACACAGATGCCTGTAAATTAATGATGCACAAAGTAAGCATAATGTGACACTTAAAAGTGCCATCTGGAAGCTGGATGTGTTTTAGATCCAAAATTTCCTGTATACCTCAATTATAGGGAAGTTACAAACTAAATGGCATGTCTATACCTGAACTGTTTTTCACATTGTTTTTGTGTTATAAGCTTTGTAATTAGCACAAGAACCTGTCAGTTGTATTTTTTTTCCCTTGTGCAATCTTGAATCATTAGTTTGATCTTCAGAGAAAGCGAGAGGAAGAGGCCTACATAATGGCTGACGCATTTAGAATTGCTTTTGAACATCAGTTGAAAAGAACAAATGATCAAACTCTCCGAATTAATGAAGTGGAAAAACTGCATAGAAAAGGCCCTAAGAAAGGGCTTGTTTGGAATCGGATGAAAGAAGGTAAATCCTAGGGATGTAAAATCGTAAATGGTCACTTGACAAGTGTTGGTCTTGCCATTATTATATTGCAGTTAACACTTAAAACATTATTAATGTCTTTGTTTAAACTAATGTTTGGGGACATTGTGCAGGGCATTGTTTCAGTTATGTAGATTTACCAACTGTTGTTTTTCATCTTCTGAGTACAATAGTACTTAGTATTTAAGTACTATATCTACAGAGCTAAGAGAAATGTATTATAATTTTGTTTTCAGTTAGCACATTTATTCTAAACGGGTACTTTTATAATTTACCACCAATATCATTTACAAATGTATGACATTAAAATGTTGACATCTGTTGAATTGTGCATCTGTTTTATATATTAACTCAGTGTGTATAAATGTGTATTTTGAGTTCAGACATAAATCTGTTCAAAATCAATGATCAATGAGCATTTCATGAGATCAGTCTGTTCCCAACACTGCACTGATTTGGCATTGATACCTGATCTTTTTGTTTAATGTAAGTTGTTTTTTTTCTGTTTTATACAACATTCCAGATCCTATTTGGAGAACAAAAGTGATTCATACACCACTTGGCCAAAAGTTGAAGGGTCTGTTCAGTTCCTCACCAGACCAAAAGAATTTGGAGGCCTTGGAGGATACGCAGGAGGTGTTGAAGATACTTATAGACTTGGTCTGTGGTGATTTTAAACTCCATACTGTCTAATTTTGTGGTGAGGGTGGGATTCTGTGGAGTATTGCAACAAACTTTGATATTCCATATTCGTGTTAGTGAAATGACATATTTTGTTCAATCAATATTTGAAAGGAAATACCAGGACTCTAATACAGGATCACTGATAAAATGAATTCGTGCTCCTGAAAAGAGAAGTCTTTTAAAACATTTCGTCAGCACTCATTGGGACAATTTACAAGAAGAACCAATGTAAAGTAAAAACAAGTCATTGTGAGAGATGAGAGGGCTGATTTGGTTAGCTTATGAACTCTTGTTGGTTGAGGCATTGGTGTGTGCACACTGTGCCTGTTTAACTCAACCAAATAGGAGACAGCCATTCTTTGGTCAAGGCACAGCCTTGAGAATTGACTCAATCAGAGACAACCTGCTTGGTATAAAACTTAAGCAAAGCTTGTAGGTGGTATCAGTCATTATCTACTTGGTTCATTCCTGGTGGCAATGCCCCTACCAGTTAGGTGTCCTTATCAACCAATTAGCATATGCTCATAGACTATGAATCTTGTTTTCCCTTTACATTGGTATTTCTTACAAATTGTCCTGATGAATGTAAGACAAAAAGCTGTGACAAGATCTTTCTTTTCTTCAGCAATACTCAAGGTTTATACTACCAGACAGCAATTAAAAATAAATGATGCAACTTACACAGGGATGCAAGAGAAAACAAAGCAGTAAGAAACATCATATGCTGGTTTCTTCCTCCGGTACACGTTTCCTAATAATAATTCACTTGCAGTGTTCATTTGTTTCTGTCAAAACTAAATGGAACAGGGTCATCTTAAAATATTTTTAGAAAATCCGTTCTCTAATCATATGTTTTTAATTACAAAATACGAATTAGTATTAATTTTTCGCTATGGTCCTGTCATTTTGAGCAGAAGTAAAGTCTTGGCTGCAATGATTTTAACTTGGCATCAGAGATTTATTATAATATTAATTCTTATGATAACATGAAGCTCACTGTTGAACTGAAAATATCTAAGTAGCAATAAAGTGATCAGAAAAATTACAAATGAAGTTTAACGGAGATGTATCTTAAGTGCTATATATCAGAATGTAAACATGAATGAAGTTTTTAAAAAGACCGAGGATTGTTTATTGGTTTGTTGCTCAATATCCAACAATGCAAAACAGTGATCAACAAAACAATGAGAGTGATTTAGTCATTCATGGCTTAATAGGAGGCCATTAAGGCCTATCTAGTTGCTTTGGCTCTTGGTGAAGCAATCCAGTCAGCTTTATTTTCCCCACTGTATCTCGGTAGCCCTGCAAGTTTATTTCCTTCGAGTACCCATCAAGTTTTCAAGTTATTGATCATCTTTGCTTCCACCAGCTTCAGAAGCTATGTACTCCAGGTCATTATCACTTGGTGTGTTAACAATCTTCTTCCTTACTTGGATCTCCAGCCCAAAACTCTAAATCTGTGTCCACTGTTCTTGTTCCCATTTGTGAATGGGAATCACTTTTTTCTTGTCTACCTTTTACACAAGAATTTTGTAATCTTGTCAGCCTTTATCAAAATACTTATTATACACCTTGGAGCACAGATCCTCCAGTTTAACCTTGGAGCTAATATCCCCCATTTCTGGAAAAATTCTGGTGAATCTCCTCTGCACCTTTCAAGGATTTTTGCATTCTTCTTAAAGTTTTGCACTGTACATTCTCTACTGTAAAATACAATGTAGAGTAAGTCAAACTGGATAGGATTCTAATCTTATCACACCGTGAGCACTGCCCAATTCCGATAAATGAGACACAGGCGGACAATGCAAAGAATAGTGGATGCTCCCAATATTTTTACGTTCCCAGAACTGGAACTTTTGTAAAGAAACATGGGTTCCTTATTCTTGCATTGAACCATTAACCTATGTTACATGCTGAAACCACTAGAAGAGCATGAATTGATCACCTAACTCAGTGCATGAAATGGATTCTTGGGTACCATAATAGAACAGAAAACTCTGGTATTATTGATGAGTCATTTGGTGTCTGTTAGGGTCATTCTGGATGTATCAACTCTATCTCATGTAAGATGAATGGCCTGTCTTGTTGATAATTGAGTTATGAAATGTGTTGCCACAAATTATTCCAACTGACTTAAAGTATTCATTGGATATTTGCTCACTTATTATATTAACCATAACTAAGATTCTAAATGTGTTTGTTTCTTTCCATTCTTAGTTAAACGATAAAGAGGAAGCTCTGGCACATCAGCGGAAGGTTAGCTATATGTTGGCCCGACGTGTTGAGGAACTAGAACAAAATTACCTGAGGAAGGATACTCCTGCTACTGAAATTTCTAAAGTTGATCATTGTCAAAAAGGATGGCATGATTCTTTCCTATCAACTGATCGAAACCAAAGTGAACACAGGACTGTTTTGAGGACGCACTCTTCCCCTGCAGGTTACTTTGTGGGCAGTTGAAAATTCAGGAGAATTTATTAAAACACTGAATGTGTGGCAAGACGTTTGATGGAACAAACATTATTACTGAAGCTAAGAAAGTTCCATGTTTGTTCATACGTGTCAAGAATGCATTCTTTCAGAATGGATGTGATATTTTTTTTTAAATTAACTCAGAAAAACTTTTAAGAATTTATTGTTTAAGTCACTTATGGAGTATACAGCATGGAAACAGGACCTTTGGTCCAATTAGTCCATGTCATCCATATTCCCAAACGAAACTGCCTGCATTTGACCCATATCCCTCCCAAACCTTTTCTATTCATGTACTTATCCAAATGTCTTTTAAATGTAACTGTACCTGCATCCACTGCTTCCTCTGGCAGCTCGTTCCATACACGAACCAGTTTTTAAAAAAAGTTCTCCTCGTCCTTTTTTAAAACTTTCTCTTGTCACATTTTAAAATATGTCCCCTAGTTTTGAACACCCCCCCCCCCCCCCCACCCCAAGACCATTGTCTTTCACCTTCTCTATGCCTCTCATGATGTTCTAAAGCTCTATAAAGTCACCCCTCAACCTCCTACACTCCAGTGAAAAAAGCTCCAGCCTCTTCTTATAACACAATACGCAACATCCTAATCTGATTTCCTTCTTACTAAAAAGCTGGTAATCTAATTTAAATATTAAAATGAGACAAAAAGGCAAAGCTTTTCATCTTGCGCTTATCAGGATTGGGAAACAAGATAGAGATTTGACAAAGGGACACTAAAGAGCTTGGGAAAAGGATGTTGAATGATTTGGCATGGTGATACAGTTGGAACAGTTAACTACCCATCTCAGTTCTCAGACCAGCCAGCACTCTGGTCATTCTTCCTCATAAACTGTATAAATTGGCCTTTTTTTTTTAACAGTTTTGTTTCTTGCATCCTAGTCCTGATGAGTGCAAGACAGAAAGCTTCAACCTGTCACCCTTTTTAGTTCCATACTAGCAAGCAATTATTTGGAGTCTAATTTGTTGACACAGTTCAATTTGCCTTAAAATTAGTGTGTGACTTGCCAAATCTAATCATATTCATATAATATTATACTTAATATACAAATATTTATGATTGCAACTTAGCAATTAAATATTTCTTGACTGTTAAATAACATTAATACATTGCAGTCATGTATTAAATAATGAATACAGGTCAAACTAAGCAAAGTGGCAGATTGACCCTCAAGTACCGTCTCAGTTCTGATCATTCAGACACCAAGGTGATAATGAAAATAGTCATGATGATGATTTTTGACTTTGAAGGTCATGAGAAAAGGCTCTGGAACCTTGAAAGATGGTATTTGGAAAGAACATTTCTGCAAAACTGTACTTTTTATAAAAGAAATTTGGAAAATTATTTCAGATTAAATTGCAAGTGAATGATGCAGGTGAACAGCAAATTTAGGATTGATATAAAAAAGACTTTCATCCCATGAAAGAAGTAATTTGCATTTTCATAGCACTTATCATACTATATCCAAAAGTGGTCTGCAATTAATTAATTTTTCAGTGTGTTGAGTATTATTTAAGCAATGTAGGTAGTAGAATGCCCCTTTTAAGTAACAGCTCTTTTGGGACACTAAAACACTGGCCAATTGAATGGCATGCTGGGAAGGGAATGAAGATAGTAAGCCAGGAAGCTTGCAGAATTCACTGTCAAATTGGATCAGGCCAGACAGATATGCAAGCCCTTTACCTTGATTGACTGTATTGAATAGGTGTTGTGAGACAATGCTGCAAGGTTTTAGATGGAACAGCTCGGAGTTTCAGTAGAACTGTCTTGAAGATAGCCAACTCGGAGCCAGACTCCATCAGTTGGGAAATTCAGTATCCAGGACAACCTTTTGTTATACCTTTTTTCCTGGGTCAGAAACTTATAACTGAATTATGTTGATTACATTGCTGTATCAAACTGTTGTAAATACATCGGAGATATCTGCATGTTGGTTGTCATGCTGACATAGTAAACGATAGTAAGTCATTGTACTTGGGGATGACCAGGAGAACTATGTTTAAAAGGGGCCACTCAAATCGAAGGAGCTGATACTCTGGAGACTATATGACAGAAGAAGCAGGAACCTTGGGAGCAAGAAGAACAGCCTCAACCTCAATTTGGCCAGCTGTAACCGGGGTAGTTTATAACCTTCTTTACCATCTTGCGTGTTCAAAGCACATTATAAAAATGTGAGAGAAAATGGTAATTTTAAGAACTGCAAGGTTACTTGGGAAATAGACAGGGAAAGATGGGTTTCATAGAATTATATGGCTGTTACTTATGTTTCAACGGTAATAAACCAGTTTTCATGGTAAACAGCGTCTCATTATTAGTTCCAAAAAGAGTCCTAGTAAGTAAGCAAGTAAATTAGACACACAAAAACGATGCAGCAAACACAGCAGTTTGTATACACCAGCTGCCTGTAAACAGCAAATGAATAAATGACCAGTCAGTCCATTTTTACTAGTATTGGATGAAGGATATGTTTTGAGGAGAATTTCCCTGTTTTGCTTCAATTAAGCCAGGGGATCTTCTTGTCCATTTTAAGTCTTTCTGACATTACCTTATTTGCCATAAAACTAAGTTTGATTTGAGAAAATGCGACAGACTTTTTGGGGAGGAGCTAAGTTTACATTATCATGTTGCATTTGGACAAAATTAGACAAATTGCAATTGTATCATAGGGATCACTAATGCAATTCATCAGAATAGTGGTTTTTACTTTGTCTACAGAAGTTCAAATTGTTAAACAATTTATTTGGCTGTCACTTATTAAATAAAGATTAGAAAATTTTTTGGAAAAGTATTCATTCATGAGAATCTCACATCTCGGTTTTTAATCAGTGTCCCCTTATTTTCTAACTATGTCATAGTCGTATAGCCTAGAAACAGATCCTTTGGTCTAATTCGTTCGTGCTGACCAAATTTCCAAAACTAAACTAGTCCCATGTGCCTGCATTTGGGTCATATCCCTCTAAACCTTTCCTATTCATGTACCTGTCCAAATGTCTTTTAAATGTTGTAACTGTACTTAAATCTACTACTTCTGCTGGTAGTTCATTCCACATACCAACCATCCTGTGTGAAAAGGTTGCCCCTCTGGTCCCTTTTACATCTTTCTCCTCTCACCTTAAAAATATGCCATCTTGTTTTGAAATTCCCTACCCTAGAGGAAAGACCCTTGCTATTCACCCTATCTATGCCCCTAATGATTTTATAAACCTCTGTAAGGTTACCCCTCAATCTCCTATGCTTCAGTGAAAAAGTGCCAGCCTATTCAGCCTCTCCTTGTAACTCAAATCCTCCTGTCCTGGTAATACCCTTGCAAATCTTTTCTGCACCCTCTCCAATTTAATAATATCATTTCTATAGTAAGGCCACCAGAACTGTACACAGTACTCCAAAAGTGGCCTCACCAACATCCCATACAATCACAACATGATGTCCCAATTTCTACTCAATGGTCTGAGCAGTGAAGACAAGACTAGAAAAACGTTCGCACCATCCATCTTGAAGGCTAGGACTGATACTTGTGGTGCTTTCCAACCTGAAAAAAAGACTCCTTAATCCTCATTCTGCCTTGTGTGTTAACCAATCCTCAATCCATGCTAATACATTACATCCAATACTTGGAGCAATACTTTGGGTGACTTTGTAGAGTTTGCACATTCTCTATCTGAGATTCCTCCAGGTGCTTAGTTTCCTCCCAGAATCCAAAGATGCACTGGTTAGTGGATTGGCCCTGGTGAATGTGGTGTTATAGGGATGCTCTTTGGATGGGCTGAATGGCCTCTTTCTGCACATTGGGGATTCTATAGCTAGAATTTATTTATTTGTTATAAAATAGTCATTCTTGTTAAGTACAGAAATCTGCTGTGTGCTTTCTGTTAACCTGGGTCTAAAAGACAATTGGAGAATTTTGTGGACTTTTTATAAAATCTTGAATTTTGTAGCTACACTAGGAATAATAACCGCTTGCTTTCCAGTGCAATATGCCAGTGAGGTGTAACAGTCCAATACTTTTTTCCTTGTTACAAGACCTTTTGTCCCATTAGCACCTTGTTTATCTGATTTTTTGGGATGTTTATAATGCCCTAGACTGTGAAGACTGATGCAAAATTTTGGTTTGTCACCCACCATTTTCCTGTCTCCATTCAGTTTTCTTGTCACTCCTCAACGTATCAGTTTAGATACTCACTTCATATACCCATAGAAGCTCTTACTGTTTGTTTTTGTTTTATTCACTTGCGGGACGTGGGGCGTGGGTGTCACTGGCTAGCAAGCATTTATTGCCTACCCGTAGTTGCCTTTGAACTAAGTGGCTTACTAGGCCATTTCAGAGGTCAGTTGAGAGTCAACCATATTGCTGTGGGTCTGGAATCACACGTAGGTCAGACTGGGTAAGGATGACAGATTTCCTTCCTTAAAGGACATTAGTGAACCAGTTGGATATTTTCTGACAATGGACAATAGTTTTGTGGACATCGGTAGATTCTTAATTCCAGATTAGTTTTGAATTCAAATTCCACTATCTGGGTAGAACCAAGATCCCAGGTCCCCAGAAAATTAGCTGAGTTTCTGGATTAATTGTCTTGTGAAATACCTCAAGGCTATCACCTCCTGTTTTTATATTTACTTTCATGGGCCTTGATGTTTGATTCGATGCTCTCCTTGACTGTCTTTGTCAACCATGGGTAGTTCATCCTTCTCATTAAGCCCTTTTTGACTGGAATACATTTTTTGCTGAGTCCTCTGTCATAGCTGTTTAAATATCTGCCACTTCAGACCTTCCCCTTTGTCTATTTCTAGACAACTCCTTTTCTTACGTCTGTAAATGCCTTTATTTAATTTGAAGATACTGGTTTGAGACTCCAGTTACTCCCCCTCAAACTTAAATTGAAATTCTGCCATAATGTTATTGACAGCTAGTAGATGGTCTTTAACTCCAGATCTCTGATTAAACTTATCTAATTACACATTACTTACTCAATCTAAAGTAGCCTATTTCCAGGTAGATTGCACAATGTACT